CACTACAAGAGCACTAGGTGTAAATATTAGTCTACACTTCACTGTATATGCCCACCAGAAATCTGTTATTATTATTATTATTTTAATATGATTTAATGCAATACATAAACACTTAAAATTTTAAGCTGTCAAAATTATTCAGAGAAATTGAAATCAAATCTATGATCATCGAGGCGGATTCTTAACTGTGAGCTGAAAAATAGGTAGCAAAAGGTTGTAAGTTACATTTTAAATGTTTTCTTGCACGTATTTTCCATAATTATGTAAAATAACACAACTTGCAAAATGTCAACAAACCAGAAACTATGCGGAGCTAGCGGGGTCAAAGAGCAAGTCAAGAAAAAGAAAGTAAAAACATCAACAAACTCTAGAGGAGGCTCAAGAACAGGCTCTAGGCAACAATCGCCGTCAGCATCTCCATTTACTACACCCTGGGCAAGTGATCATGAGGGAGAGGAAGAGGAAGCTTGGAAATGTGAAAATTGCTCACATATCTTCGATAATCCTGACGCAAAAATGCTGGAATGTCAAAAATGTAGGTTACACTACTGCATCGCATGCTTAAACAAGAGCGAGGGAGTACAGGTTTCTCCAATCATCTGATGCTATGTGGTTTTGCGGTAAGTGCAAAGAAGCAGTAGAAAAGAATATAATCATAGAAAGAAAGATCGAGGAGAAGTGTGAAGAAATGATGAGAGAGTTTGATAACAGACTAGTATCATTAGAATCTATGATAAATTCGAAATGTGACGAAGAGAAAGTGTAGGAAATCGTAAAAAATGAGATGAACAAATTCACTGAAAAAGTACAAATAGAAAGCAAAGAGGAGAGTGAAGTGGCAACACTTGAAAGTGCAGAGAAGGAACAAAAATAGACATTGGATACAGTTCTAGGAGAAATAAACGAGAGAAGGGCATGTGAAAACAACATAGTGATATATGGAATTGATGAGGTGGATTCTGCAGATAGAGAGAAGAGGAAAACACATGACATGAATAAAGCCAAAAATATATTGAAAATATGTGGGCTGAAACCCAAAGAGACAGCATCATGTATTACAAAAGCAATCAGACTAGGGAAATATAAGGCCAACGTAAATGAAGAGAACAAGCAGAAAACTAAAGGAAGACCTATGCTAATATCACTCAACAACCAGGAACTGAAAGGTGAGATTTTCAAAAATGCAAGGAATCTGAAATCAGAGGAAGAATATAAGTCAGTCAGGATCTCCAATGACCTAACTAGAACAGAGAGGGAGAAAGAAAAAGAACTATGGGAGGAAGCAAAGAGAAGAGAGTCACAGTCTTCGGGGGAAGTTCGCTACAAAGTAAGAGGCCCCCCATGGGCAAGGAGGTTAATGAAAATTCCGGCGCAGGAATTACGGAAGTAAAACCAAAAAGCAAAAGGTACACACTTATGAAATCAGAACTGAACCTTACAGGTATCGACAACTATAATATTTTCACAAAAAATATTGACAATAATACAGGAAGAGGTTTGGTGTTCTATATAAATAAGCTGTTAATTGCAAAAGAAGTTGTGTTTGATATTGACTTTGAGGAGTATTTATTTATCGAAATCCAGATAAATAAAACGGAAAAACTACTAGCAGGGCTGATATATAGATCGGATAGTGGAACAACAGAAAACAACGACAATTTAAATATTCTAATAGAAAAAGTTGTAAACCAAGGATATTCACACCTAATGTTAGCTGGGGACTTTAATTACCCAGATATCAACTGGGAGTACTGGAATACTAAAGGAGACTCTACTACGTCTAATGAATATAAGTTTCTAGAAAATTTAATGGACAATTTCTTATATCAACATTCCTTTCAACCTACAAGATTTAGAGGGAAAGACGCCCCATACTTGCTGGATTTAATACTAACAAATGAGGGAAACCTGGTGAGTAACCTTGAATATCAAAGCCCACTTGGCAAAAGTGACCACTGTATACTAATGTTTGACGTTAACTGCTATGCTAAAATACCAAATAAATCAAAGACAAGGAAGTGCTATAATAAAGGTGACTATGTCGGTATGAATAAAGCTATAAGAGAAATAGACTGGGAAGAGCGACTCGTAAGTAAGAACAGTCTTGAAGAAAATTGGAAAATATTTCACAACATAATAAAAGAATTGGAAGAAGTTTACATTCCATCTCGAACAATCAAGAACTCGAGAGAAAGGAAAGTAGGAACTCCACTCGACAGAAGTACCATAGAGTTAATAAAGAGGAAACACAGATTAGCAAAGAAGATTACAAGAAACAATAACCCTGAAACACAGAAGGAATACAGAAGAGTCACAAACAAAGTAAGAAAGATCCCTAGAGACAGAAGGAAAGCATTTGAAAAATCATTATCAGCTAAAGCCAAAGACAACCCTAAAGCTGTATGGAATTATATCAAGTCAAAAGGTAAATCCAATGAAGGAGTAGGGGATCTATACACAGATTACACAGACAGTAATTCACAAACAACAGATGATGATAAAGTGAAAGCTAATGTGTTGGCAAGTTTTTTCCATAGTATATTTGTTAAAGAAGAAACCGGAGAGATACCTGAAATTCCAGACAAGAACATTCAGAATAAAATGACAGAATTACTCATACAAGGGAATGACATCAAACTGAAACTAGAAAAATTGAAGATTGACAAATCTCCTGGCCTAGATGGAATGCATCCACGCATGCTTAAAGAAACAGCAGAAAATATATACATCCCACTAGTCACATTATTCAATCAATCACTAAAGGAAGGGAAAGTACCTGAGGACTGGAAAAGAGCTCAGATAAGTGCTATCTATAAAAAGGGAGATAAACGTCAAGCTGGAAACTACCGCCCAGTAAGCTTAACCTCAGTTATATGTAAGGTAATGGAATCTTTAGTTCGTGACCACATAATATCTCATATGAAAAAGAATGAATTATTCTCAGATAAACAATACGGTTTTATATCTGGTAGATCCACCACACTCCAGCAACTAGAAGTTCTAAACAAATGGACACATGCATTAGATAATGGATACCCAGTAGACTGTGTGTACATGGATTATCAGAAAGCATTCGATACTGTGCCACATAAAAGACTACTGAGTAAGTTACAATCTTATGGAATTCACACAAACTTACTGAGATGGACAAAAGAATTCTTATACAATAGAAAACAAAGAGTATCAATAAATGGTGAAAATTCAGACTGGACTGATGTTACATCTGGCATACCACAGGGATCAGTGTTGGGCCCGACATTATTTGTTATATTTATAAATGATCTACCAGAAATTGTGAAATCAGATGTTTACCTGTTTGCAGACGATACAAAAATATTCAGAATCATTACAGACAAGGATGACAATACCGTTCTACAGAAGGACCTAGACACAATGTCCCAGTGGAGTGACACCTGGCTTTTGAGATTTCATCCGGACAAGTGTAAACATATGCACATATGCAAAAAAATCTCAGCTTGCTGATCATGAAACTATATACACACTAAAAGGAAAATCGTTACAGACAGTAGAAACAGAAAAAGACATTGGAGTAGTCATAGATAATAACTTAAACTTCGAGAGACATATATGTGAAAAAGTAAATAAAGCAAATTCTATGTTTGCTCTCCTTAGAAGAACTTTCCAATATTTGAATGCAGATTCTTTTACTCCGTTATACAAGACCTTAGTAAGAACTCACTTAGACTTTGCCAGTCCTGTGTGGTCACATATAAAATGAAACACATTGAGAAGCTAGAAGGGGTACAAAGAAGGGCAACAAAACAGTTACCAGGATTCAGGGAGTTGAGCTATTCAGAAAGACTGAAAAAACTTAAATTACCTACATTATCATACAGGAGACTAAGGGGAGACATGATCGAGCTGTACAAGATAATCCACAGTCATTACGATCCTGAAGCAAGTAATTTTGTAGCATTATGGAAGGATACAGCGGCACGTAATGGAACAAGAGGGAATTCTTTAAAAATTTATCCACAACACACCAAATTGGACTTGAGAAAAAATTACTTCACTGTTAGATCTGTCAACGTATGGAACAACTTACCTGAGAATGGTGTCAGTGCACCAACAAAGAACACTTTTAAAAATAGACTGGACAAGTATTGGGAAAATCAATATATTTCATATGATTTCAAAGCAACACTAGGAATTGACGCGAATAAAAGAGGGCAGGGAATACACATCGAGTCTGGTGAAGAGGTCCTTAAAGGACCTGTACCAGAAAACTACTCTAAGTAACTCTAAGTAAATAAGTAATAATGAACGCTGGCATTAAGCCTCTATGTTCATATCAATGAATAACATAATATAACAGAATATTTTCTGTGAGGCATTTCGATTGGGTTGTTTTCAACATTTCATTTTCAATAGATCTCAATTCCTTTTATTTTTTACCAAACACATGTATGAACAGGTATTACCTTATACAAATCCTTACGTAATAACATTTTTGATCCTTGTACAGGCAATACAGGCAAATGCTACAAAAGGTTGCACACAGTATGTCAAAGCTAATACGTGTCAAATACAACACAAATTAATAGTTTATGTGCCTATTCATTGATTGAAAATATAAATAGAGAAGCATATTTCTGCTCCTGTCACTGCATGATAAATAGATTAAACTCGTTAATTATCCCGTTATCACTGATTATCAAATAGACAAAAATGACTTTGGCATTGTAGCCTCAATATGAAATGAACACACTATATGCATTTCCCTGCGTGATAATAAAATAAGAACTTGTGAAATATTTGTATTTCGTTACCATAAAGTCAGAATAACTGTATCTTTGCTGTCTCCGACAAAACATTTTACATCTCGGCAGGAATTTGCTCCATCTTGTTGCTAATATAGACATTCACCCGACGTCTCTCTGATTTTTTTCAACACTTGTCATGATAATTCACGAAAAGTTACGAATGTTTGCGACACGAGTGACTTCCCTTTAAACAGTTCTTCAAATGGTGCCAAAGATTACCGGGCTGTCACTTCCACTTTCGGTATGAACCTTATCTAGTTGCCATATGTACCGCATATATTACGACACCAGCTATGCAATATCCGATTTTTGATTGTTTATTAATGTATTAACATTTAGAAATTATCTAAAGACGAGTTTTCAATGGACGTATCAATATGGAATGGGAAAAGGTCAGCTATTTCAGGAACGTTCTATTTTGATTTTTGCAGATAACGATGTCCTCCTTAAATTTGATTAGTCCGGAGTAGCACACCAATGTGTGCCAGTGTTTAGTATGGTCGATTTCATTACGAAATACAACAACAGCACGATATTTTTTTCACCGGAAATCCATGCATCATCATCATTATATCATCATCATCATCATCATCATCATCATCATCATTGTATTTGGCCACAGTGCATGTCATTGGTTGGTTGGGCGCAGTATAACTTGGTTACAAGTTTTATGTCTGCTTGACTCTTCCTATTGCTAGGCATTGTCTCACTGATGAATATGTCTATGTTCTAGCGAAGTGAGGGGTTGACCTGTGCCCCCCTTACAGATTGGAGGCATCTGTCGGGATGTGCGAAATGCTAAGTACATGTAGTACTTACAAGACCAGACGTCTCCAGGGCTGGGACTAATGGTGCATTATGCTTCATCATAGCAGTTGTCTTTAGCCTGTCTGGTTGGAGTTGGCAAAGAGCTGGATAGGACCAACATAATTTTGTTTGAATATTACATAATTGCATCATCCACCGAATGCCCTAAAAAGGTGTGTTGATCTTAACCAGATCTAAACATCTGGCTCCAAGTTATGTTTACTTGATCCACCTTTTAAATTCTTGTCAAGCAAACTATGGTTAGTGGTTAGATTGGTACCTACATTGTACTTATGATTAACACCCATTTTTTGGGGTTGTCCCATGTTGAATTCATCTGAATTACTTAACTAATTATAATATTCATTGCTTTCTGATAATGCATTCCACTCAGACTGCATACTTTAAACTTATTCACTATTTTGACTTTTGATAATTATATGTGTGATTAATGTGATGATGTCGCTTTTTAAGAGTTATGTACTGCGAAGGCAAGATAAGTTATGTTGAAATGGGAAAATGTCACAATAGGATCAGATGAGCTAAGGAAGATTAAATTTTAAAAGTGCAAGAATCACTACATAGGTGGATCGTTGGGTTATGTGATAAGTCATTTGTTTAGAATTAATAATGTGTAAATTCAAATTGGTGGTATTTTGAGGAGAAATAGAGAGAAGTCAATTTATTCTCTCAAGCTATCATATACATTTTGGTTATTTTCACATTTGAATATAAGTGGGATGGGATGGGAAAGGGGGCAGGGGATGGACAGAGTCTTGTAAAGTGTATGTGTGACTGGTTCTATAGATGTCACTTGGATATCTGACTGCTCTATTGACATAAGAAAACTGGTGGGTGCCACTCCACCTTAGGTCAGAACTGAGATGTTGTGACATTGTGACAATAGCTTCTGGGGCTAGAGCAGTTTTTCCTCTGTTGTTGTATGTATGTATGTTTATTAGACTCATTTGTGATTGAAGTTATAGCTAATCAGTATTCCGAGGAGTATATGATGTTCAGTTGTTATGTCATGGACAAATTCAATTTTTTTGGTTTTAATTTATCTCCCTCTGCTCTATGTTTGATAAACAAAGCTGTTTGTTATTCAGGGTTTGTTATTCTCAATTTCCCTTACCTACATTTAGCGTGTCCACATTCCATTGACCACTGATCTCACACTCGAATCCCACTGGTTAATTCACTTCTGTTGGACCAAAATGACTTACATAGAAGGCCTATGTCAAAATGATAAGGCTTTTTATATGATTGAGTTGTCCGACTATAAGTTATAAGTCCTAGTTAAACAGATAACTTACACATATTAAAAGCCTTTCAATACTGACATGTCCTTGTGATTTGGTGTGGTCAATAATATCATCATGTGGAAGATCAGGTTGAGAAAGACTTTTGAGATTGGAGAGGACACACTGGGTGCACCTTAGCTTCACAGTTAGATTAATACAACCTCAGCTTAAAGCACATTTTGAAAATGACTGCCAATCTTTTGAGATTTTATACTTTTTAGAGAGTTTATAACAAGATTTTATAATGCTTAGCTTAATCTTGTGATAGGTAAAGAACAGCAGATACTGCACATGATACTAGACCAGTTGCCAGTACTACCACATACATGTTGATCTATCAATTCACATTATGCTGTGTCAATATTGGCATGGACTGTACACAAGTTAGTAGAGAACTATTTTATCCTTCCATCGTTGTATTATTTAAAGGCATCATGCTATTGTGAATTATATAAAACATTGATTGAATGCCACCTCATATACAGGTCACTGAAATCCTGTGTTTATTCTGACCACCAAATCCAACTAAAACAAGGAAATCAAATTGCAGATAGATAATCAAAGGCCTTCAGACAAGTTCCTGTCCTGAACATATAGCCTGATTAAAGATACCCATTGTAAATGATGTGTTGTACATTGTTCTGAATTGAATATAAAGTCTAATAAACATATACGCAGTTGCTCTCATCTGTGTAATATGGGGGAAAAAATCACCTTCCAGTCAAGTGCCCAAACAGGAAATGCATGGATATCTATATTATGTGTTGAAGCATGGCCTATTGGTAATGATACCAGATATCTTTCTCAAGAATGGAGAAAGAAACTCTTACCATTAAAAGGTCTAAAATGTATAACATAGCTATGCATCTAACATTCCTTTTTTGAAACATAAGCCTGTATCTGTGAAAGAAGAAGTTAAAATATCACAATGAAATATGGTCTTTAAATATATCCATACAGGCTTTACCAAAACCCACACAGTTGTTATTACTATACATAAACTCAGTTACAAACAAATGTACATCCAGCTTTGATATTGGTATCTGTGAATGCATCTGGTGTAAAATTCTTAATCTTAAATTTATGTAACTTTTCACAAAAATCTACCAGTTACTCTCTGAGTACCTGACTATTGTTTAAAATGACAACATTTTATTATGTTTCAGAATGTTCACCCATCAAGATGGATCAATCTTCTTTAGATTCTATAGCAAATAGTTTAGACATCAAATACCAAGTCACAGATAATGTGGATGCTAGGAAAACATACATAGCCAAAGTAATACTAACAAATACAGGTGATATTCCATTACGCGCGGCTGGGAAATGGGCCATCTACTTCTGTCACATCCGCATGGTGGAGCCTCAGACACTTCCAGATGCAGATCAGATCCGTATGGAAAAGTATGGAATCAAGTTTTGCCATATCAATGGATGTCTGTTTACCTTGGAACCATTAAGATCTTTCAAAACCTTAAATAAAGGTGATAGTCTGGAGATTGTATTTACAGCTGAATACTACTCGGTTGCTAGATCCGATATGATGCCTAATTGGTACATTACATGCAAGGATCTGCTGCCCAGGATTATACAGAGCACACAGGGAGAAGACCTCTCCTATGTTTTACCATTTGATACTCCAGAAAGCTGGAAAAGACATAAGTGGGACAAATATGATCCATTTACTCCAGAAGTAAGGTATGAAAAAAACCATGTGCAGGATTTGGGCAAGGCTGGATGTCTTGTGACCCCTACACCTCATAGCCTTATAGTAGTCAGTGATAGGACATTAGATCTTTCCAAACAATCTTGGTGCATTATGGCTGCTGAGGATGTGATGCAAGAGGCTGAGTTTCTTCAGGGTATGATGATACAAATCTTATAATTTCTTCACTTTTTTTATGTATTCTCAATTTTCAACTGTAGTTTAATTACACAGAAAATAGAAATCTGTCTACTTTTTAATTCATGATAATTTCTAATTGAACACGTATTGAAACCTGATTAGCTTCTTGTTAAGTTCTCCTTTATTTTGCAGAAAAATCTGATTCAATCAAATTTGATCTTCGAAACAACAAGGAGTTGAAACTTAACCAGAAACATGTAATTCTGTTGAAAATTGGTCCAGTCACAGAAAATGGGGACGGATGCACAGGAAGAGCTAATGAGGATGCCTATAAATTAACAGTTCAACTAGAAGAAGAAGTGATAGAGGTTATTGGTAGTTCTGCTGTAGGAGTGTTTTATGGTGTTCAGACCTTTCTTTCCCTGCTGGACAGATGTGAGGTACCACATGTTCACATCCTAGACTATCCAAGGTACCCCTACCGAGGAATGCATTTAGATGTGTCGCGCAACTTTCATAAAAAAGAGTCGGTGCTGAAACTGCTAGATGTCATGGCTATGTACAAAATGAACAAGTTCCATTTTCATCTAACAGATGATGAGGGTTGGCGTCTTGAAATCCCAGGGTTGGAAGAACTGACCACAGTAAGTAGCTATGGTGTTAATAAGATACTAAAAACAAGTTTTCATGAATCGTTTCACCATTGCATAGGCATGCTAACTTCAGTTTATTAAGTTTTTTAGTATCACATTCCATAAATTCATAAACAAAATATTTATGAAGAGTTTATTGCAATAGCAAATGTAAGCTGGCTGACAAAATGAGGCTTTTTTAAAACAAAGGAATTTAATTGTTGAAGAAGGCCATGGAGCCTGTCAAATCAGCGCTTAATCTTTTTCCCCTACTGCTAAAACGTAGGATACTATTGTTTTCCGTCCTCCTTGCATCTGTGACAAAGTCTATCAGCACTCTGGAGGCTTCCTTCCTTTAGGGATTCTGTGGTTATGCTCTAAACATAAACATTTTAACAATGAGCAATATCTTTATAATGAAGGGGTTGCAGGCCTTGAACTTGGTACACTGCACATCGTCATAGTGTGACCAAAGTATACAAATGAACACACCTGGTTTCATGCTCCTTGCTTAACTGGTCTACAACCCCTTAATAACTGAGTTAAGGCCCTTTGTTGCAATATTGTGTCTAGATCGTAGATTAGCTTTCATTTATACTAGGACAATGAAACTTGGTGTATACATTGGTCATACTATGAATATGTGCAGTTTATCAAACTCAGGGCCTGAAACCTTTAATTACATAATTATTGCCCTTGTGCTGACATGTTTGTGACTTTGGACAACATAGGATTGGAATTGCTCTGGATGGCATGCCTTGGGCCTTCTTATGTTGTTAACTGATTTGATCATGGCCAGCAAACAAACTACTACAGATCAATAATTCATGTGTGTTAGAGTGAAGATTTTTCATTCAAAATTTTTTTTGTTTAAAGGTTGGAAGTCGCAGAGGCCATGACCTTGAGGAGAAGACATGTATCTTACCCATGTTAGGGTCAGGCCCTAACTTTGACACATCAGGCTCTGGTTACTACTCAATAGATGATTATAAGGAAATCCTCAAATTTGCACAACAGCGTCACATCGAGGTCATTCCAGAGATTGACATGCCAGGTCACAGTCATGCAGCAATAAAGGCAATGCAGGCCAGGTACTACAGGTTCCAGGAAGTCAAAGATACCAAGTCAGCCAAAGAATATCTGCTTACTGACTTCCATGACACTGATAGTGTTACAACATCTGTTCAAATGTATTCCGAAAATTCTATGAATCCTGGTTTGGACTCTACATATAAATTTGTTGATAAAATAGTGAAAGAAGTAAAAGATATGCATGCTGAAATCCAACCCTTGAAGACATTCCACTTTGGGGGAGATGAAGTACCATATAAAGCCTGGAAAAAGTCATATGCCTGCGAAAAGCTTATTGAGGATGGAGACGTGGAGTCCTTTGACAAGCTCATGGAGTACTTTGTCAAGAGGCTTGCGGAAGTGGTGGCTAAGCATGGTTTATCACTTGGTGCCTGGCAGGATGGTCTCATCCACAGTGGAATTACACCTGTGGAAAGGACAAAGTTTCCTAATAAGGAGGTGCTGGCATATGCTTGGCAAAATGTTTGGGAATCTGGTCTGGCTGGATTTGCCTATAAACTTGCTAATGCTGGTTATAAGGTAATGTTACAGAAAAATTGCATATCACTGAATTGATGGTAATGTCATCTTTGTGTAAGCAGTGGGTCTCGGATCCCAGGGCGGGGATGGGCAGGACCAAAAAGCGGAAATAATGTTAAATCCCTTACAATTCTTCTTCTGCAGAAATGCTTGGATTTTCTCCCTATTTGGTCTTAGGCGTCCTTGATTGAAGTGGAATCAATTTTGTATAAACATTGGGTCTGGACTACAATGGAAAGGAGGGGCAGGGCTCAATAGGGGAAATATTGCAAATTCTTTCAAATTCTTCCTTAATGCTTGAATGGATTTTATTTCATTTTTGTCTGAAACATTATTAAGGATGGGCAATTAATTCTTAAATTTCGAAAGTTGGTTTGACCCTGAAGGAAGTTACACAATATTTTGCTTCAAGACAATTTGTTATTACCAGGGTAGATTTCAACCAAATTTCATCTGAAATATCATAACAGGTGGGTTACCATTTCTTAATTTCAGAAAGTCTATTTGACCCCAAGGGACATGGAGATGGAGCCCAAAATTGGGAAATTAGTCAATATGATGCTTCTAAACACTACTCTCTGTTTGAATGGAATTCATTCCAATTTTGTCTGATACATCATTAGGTGTGGGCAATTAGTCCTTAAATTCAACCCCTTGGTACGTAGGGACAGGACCCAAAACGGGAAGTGATGCAATATTTTGCTTAAAAACACTATTCCTTCTTATTGCCTGTGTAGAATTCACCCAGATTTGATCTAAAACATTGTTAGGGAGTGGCAATGATATCAAACATGCAGGAAGTGATCATGATATTGTCATGACCAAATCTTTTATTGAGGTTTGATCCAAAATCCAACACAACTCATCTTGAATAGATATTTCTCAATTTTTATTCATACAAATGAGAAACCTATTTGGAGTTTAATTTGTTAAGGTATAGAAACAGATGATATATTGTTATTTTTCAGTCAAAACTACATCATGGTACCTACAAAACTATATTTTTTGACATGATTACACAACTGGTTTTACTGAACAAAACCTACCACTTATGAGTTTCTGGATCCTTTCTAGAATGCCTAAAATTTGAATTCATTAGATTTGTCAGACCGCCATCAGCAAATTCTTTGGTCTGTCTATCCAATGATTTTCAGATGACTGTTAAGGGCCCTCTTGTTCTCATGGTCAAATTGTAAACGGATTGATTGAAAAAATTTAAGAACACGATTATATTCAATATATAATCAATGTTCATCATTTTATTTTGATATAGGAAACATGCATATGAACTTACAAGAACAACACATATCCATACATCTGAATGTTCCTAGCAAAAGTTGTATAGCTTCCTACATAGTATGTACTGTATGCATTGTATATTAATTTTACGACCAGCCATCTACTTGTAATGATAAATGGAAACTCAGCTCTCTGTTCTCTATGTTGTATAGGTGGTGATGTCACAGGCAACCCACTTGTATTTCGACCATCCATATGAACCAGACCCAGAGGAGGTAGGATTGTACTGGGCCACCCGGTACATAGATACACGGAAAACATTCAACTTTATGCCTGACAATATCTTTGCCAATGCTGATGTTAAACTGACTGGTAAAGAGCTCTCCAAAGAGGATGTTGAAAAATGTAATGAAGACAATGATGTACTGATTGAAAAGCAAAATGTGATAGGTAAGAATGGAGCCTATCACTACAATACTATAAAATGTTGTTTCCTACTTTAGCCATTAACTCTAAAATACATCCTAGGTTTGTAGATCTTTAACTTTTTTCTACAAGTGGTTAAGTACACTCTACGACATAGTGAGTACTTAATTCCTGAAATACATGTAGCTGTGATTCAGTTTTTAGTGTTTGTCCATATTTCAGTGAACCTATTGTTAATTAATGTAGGTTTAAAATACATTAATTGGGTATATTTTAATTGGCGTTCCAACTTTCAGTCACACTGACATGATGTTAGTTTGTGGTATTGTATATGTAGGAACAGGTTTAAAATACCCTGGTTAATTTAATCAAAATCAGATGATTCAATATTCAGTTTATTAGAGGAATATATGCACTTTTTACATGAAATAAATGATAATGCATGATAATGCCCCTTCAGCACTGTAACACTGAACAAAAAAATAACCAAACTGGTCAATTATGATTATATGTAATCTACTTATAGGTATGCAAGGACAACTATGGAGTGAACTTGTACGTACCTCTGATGTCCTAGACTCAATGATCCATCCACGTCTTCAGGCTTTGGCAGAACGAGCTTGGCACAAAGCATCATGGGAGGAAGTTGATGATGTAGCTAAACTGAAAATGGACCAAACTGCGGATTGGACAAAATTTTCAAACTCTCTGGGATACAGAGAGCTGCAGAGGCTGGATAAAATGGGTGTGACATACCACATCCCCCCACCAGGCGTGAGGTAGGAATTTGTTTATCAATATAGGGATTTAATTTTGTAAGCCCTCAAACCTGAAGATGAAGAAAAAAGGGTATAATAATCGACATAGTGTAGAAGTTAAACTAGTCAACAAGATATTTAAATATCTGGTGGTGCATTCCCAAACGTCAGTCGCTGAATAACTACATAAACAAAGCTATCACATCCATTTATACATGTAGTAGTTTTAAGCATTACTTACATAAACATGTACAGTTATATTTGACAGAAACTTCTGAACCTATCTTTTCATGCTGTGTTTATTTCATTGGCAATGTTTAGTTTAGATATGTATGACACATTGTATTTCATTTTTTTCGACTGGAGTTGAAAAGTTCAGTTCACCAGACTTATCCACCAAGAAATGTTTACCCTGAGAAATTAAATGACTGTGCTGACACAGATTATGATAAATACTAGAAAGTGCTGTATGTTTTATTGTGTTGTTTTAGGGTTGAAGGTGACAAGTTACATGTGGTATCTGCCTACCCAGGCCTACCACTGTATTACAGTACTGACAGTGGAACTACCTGGCAGGATGTGAAGGACAGTATCAAGGTCAACTCAGGACTCAAAGTACATATTGTGTGCAAGTAAGTAAATTAGCACATATATGCATTGAAGTTCTGTGTACATCCAGTTTGCATGAATTTAAAGCATAGCATGTATTTACGTATTTATTTAGCAGGTATTACGTCCACTATTACAGCCTTTTGGTCTTTCAGCGGATGACTTAATAGCATGTATTTATTTATTTATCAGGTATTACGTCCACTATTACAGCCTTTTGGTCTTTCAGCGGATGACTTAATAGCATGTATTTATTTATTTATCAGGTATTACGTCCACTATTACAGCCTTTTGGTCTTTCAGCGGATGACTTAATACCATGTATTTATTTATTTATCAGGTATTACGTCCACTATTACAGCCTTTTGGTCTTTCAGCGGATGACTTAATACCATGTATTTATTTATTTATCAGGTATTACGTCCACTATTACAGCCTTTTGGTCTTTCAGCAGATGACTTAATACCATGTATTGTATTTATTTATTTATCAGGTATTACGTCCACTATTACAGCCTTTTGGTCTTTCAGCGGATGACTTAATACCATGTATTTATTTATTTATCAGGTATTACGTCCACTATTACAGCCTTTTGGTCTTTCAGCAGATGACTTAATAGCATGTATTTATTTATTTATCAGGTATTACGTCCACTATTACAGCCTTTTGGTCTTTCAGCAGATGACTTAATAGCATGTATTTATTTATTTATCAGGTATTACGTCCACTATTACAGCCTTTTGGTCTTTCAGCGGATGATTAACTATTACAGCCTTTTGGTCTTTCATGTATTGTATTTATTTATTTATCAGGTATTACGTCCACTATTACAGCCTTTTGGTCTTTCAGCGGATGACTTAATAGCATGTATTTATTTATTTATCAGGTATTACGTCCACTATTACAGCCTTTTGGTCTTTCAGCAGATGACTTAATAGCATGTATTTATTTATTTATCAGGTATTACGTCCACTATTACAGCCTTTTGGTCTTTCAGCCACTATTACAGCCTTTTGATGTATTTATTTATTTATCAGGTATTACGTCCACTATTACAGCCTTTTGGTCTTTCAGCGGATAATAGCATGTATTTATTTATTTATCAGGTATTACGTCCACTATTACAGCCTTTTGGTCTTTCAGCGGATGACTTAATAGCATGTATTTATTTATTTATCAGGTATTACGTCCACTATTACAGCCTTTTGGTCTTTCAGCGGATGACTTAATAGCATGTATTTATTTATTTATCAGGTATTACGTCCACTATTACAGCCTTTTGGTCTTTCAGCGGATGACTTAATAGCATGTATTTATTTATTTATCAGGTATTACGTCCACTATTACAGCCTTTTGGTCTTTCAGCTGACTTAATAGCATGTATTTATTTATTTATCAGGTATTACGTCCACTATTACAGCCTTTTGGTCTTTCAGCGGATGACTTAATAGCATGTATTTATTTATTTATCAGGTATTACGTCCACTATTACAGCCTTTTGGTCTTTCAGCGGATGACTTAATAGCATGTATTTATTTATTTATCAGGTATTACGTCCACTATTACAGCCTTTTGGTCTTTCAGCAGATGACTTAATACCATGTATTTATTTATTTATCAGGTATTACGTCCACTATTACAGCCTTTTGGTCTTTCAGCAGATGACTTAATAGCATGTATTTATTTATTTATCAGGTATTACGTCCACTATTACAGCCTTTTGGTCTTTCAGCAGATGACTTAATAGCATGTATTTATTTATTTATCAGGTATTACGTCCACTATTACAGCCTTTTGGTCTTTCAGCAGATGACTTAATAGCATGTATTTATTTATTTATCAGGTATTACGTCCACTATTACAGCCTTTTGGTCTTTCAGCGGATGACTTAATAGCATGTATTTATTTATTTATCAGGTATTACGTCCACTATTACAGCGTTTTGGTCTTTCAGCAGATGACTAATTATATTGTGACAAACTTGCGGTGTATCTATTAATACCTGATCATTTTTATGGCCTCTAGTGTACAACATGCAATCATGTTTTCTGGGGAATAAAAACTGGACTATGCCCATCTTTGTGTCCATCAAAAGGTCTTTTCATGGTTACAACTTGAAAACCATTCAACTGATCTTTAGGAAACTTTGAATATATATTAGACTGGTGCCCTGGGTGAACCTTTTGCTATAGACAAGATTTTCAGCTCTTTATCATTGGATGGTAAACTATTCAAATTGCCCTACATTTACCATGGTGTTGGGGGATGATGCTACACTTTGCAGCTTCTTGTTCTCAATTTCTTTTCACTTCTTTTCTTGCCAAAACCAGAATACTAATATCTAATTTCAGCGGTGTCTCATTATTTATATTCGTGATTCTAGTATATGCATTGGAGCTGAAAAAGAAAACCTTTTAATGATTGTTGTATAAGAGACCTATTTGAATACTGATACATGGTTTCATCACTGCTTTTGTATAATGACATTATAATTAATATAGCACTTAAAACCAGACTTCTGTGTACAGGGAACTCAAATATCTACCAATGGTTCTAAATAGTGGAGTGTTAAGTATTTTCTACAATTCTGGAAATCCATCTCAGCCCTAGTTGATTCTCCTCCCTGTCAATGTCTAGGTGTAACTTTATATTAAATCTGTAACCCCTAAGGGTAGCTGTTGAATTTGTGTTTCCAAAACTCTTTATCTTACATTGACTTATCATCATTGTTTTCATGATTAAATAAGAGGCACATGCGGTTTCATCAAGCCGCATATATTTAAATGTTCAACTAGTGGATGTGACTGAGCATTACATTGCATTGTATCAAAATTGAACTCTACCCTAGATTGTCAGATTAATTCTAACATGATTTTATTGGTAAAGTTAATATAAGGGTATCTCATCATGTTATCACTGTCAGATTAATTCAGTCCTGATTTTAGTGGTAAAGTTAATATAAGGGTATCTCATCATGTTATCACTGTGTCAGATTAATTCAGTCCTGATTTTAGTGGTAAAGTTAATATAAGGGTATCTCATCATGTTATCACTGTCAGATTAATTCAGTCCTGATTTTAGTGGTAAAGTTAACATAAGGATATCTCATCATCTTATCACTGTGTCAGATTAATTCAGTCCTGATTTTAGTGGTAAAGTTAATGGTAAAGTTAACATAAGGATATCTCATCATGTTATCACTGTGTCAGATTAATTCAGTCCTGATTTTAGTGGTAAAGTTAATGGTAAAGTTAACATAAGGATATCTCATCATCTTATCACTGTGTCAGATTAATTCTGAAAGTTAATGGTAAAGTTAACTGATTTTGTTGGTAAAGTTAACATAAGGATATCTCATCATCTTATCACTGTGTCAGATTAATTCAGTCCTGATTTTAGTGGTAAAGTTAATATAAGGATATCTCATCATCTTATCACTGTGTCAGATTAATTCTGACCTGATTTTGTTGGTAAAGTTAACATAAGGATATCTCATCATCTTATCACTGTGTCAGATTAATTCTGACCTGATTTTGTTGGTAAAGTTAATATAAGGATATCTCATCATGTTATCACTGTGTCAGATTAATTCAGTCCTGATTTTAGTGGTAAAGTTAATATAAGGATATCTCATCATGTTATCACTGTGTCAGATTAATTCAGTCCTGATTTTAGTGGTAAAGTTAATATAAGGGTATCTCATCATGTTATCACTGTGTCAGATTAATTCAGTCCTGATTTTAGTGGTAAAGTTAATGGTAAAGTTAACATAAGGATATCTCATCATCTTATCACTGTGTCAGATTAATTCTGACCTGATTTTGTTGGTAAAGTTAATATAAGTGTATCTCATCATGTTATCACTGTGTCAGATTAGTTCAGTCCTGATTTTATTGGTAAAGTTAATGGTAAAGTTAACATAAGGATATCTCATCATGTTATCACTGTGTCAGATTAATTCAGGCCTCATTTGTAAACTAATCAGTGAATTCTATTATGGTTTTGCCATCAAAAGTCATGATCATTCATTTCATTCAGTAATGTACCTCACTCCTAATACAAGGGAAGCTACTCTTTCTAGATTTGAATCTGCAATGTCAATTTATATGCTGTGCAATCCTTTGAGGAAAATAATGAAAGTTATATACTAATGTAAAAAAAACTGTGTACAATATTTCTTGATTTGAGAGACACAAAGAAATAATAAAACCTATTTACATCTAGTTGCATAAAATGTGTGTAGTTGAGCTGCTAGTATTACTTAAATCATTGATATGGTCATACTTCTGTATCAATCTAATACAAGTCTTTATGTATCTTATCATTGACTGTAAAGTTGATCTAGCCCACTTTTCATAATAACATCACAGGCCACAATACAACAAACAAACCAGTTGATATATATTACACATGGCAGATGTAATTTTGATGGGCTGAGTGACATATTTACTTTGTTGTTAAGAACCAAAAACAAATGATGATCATGGAAAAGTAAATAATATATGTATTTGTATAATCCTTACAGATCGGCGGACAGATTGCGGTCTAGTCGGAGGGTTACACTAACTGTTCCAGATGCACCTCTCTCCGATGGCCATTGATGGATATGAGATTGTGCTAACACAATTCTATAACATAATAATTTTCATCGGCCTTGAATTCTGTTCATAACATTGTGCTGTATTAGACCATATGTAAAAAGTTGCCCCCTGTACAACTAAATATATTAATGACACAATTATTTGTATCATATTGAACTGGCTGTGTTTCTGAAGTTATCAAAACTTTGTGCTGACCTCAAATTGGACACAATCCTCTGTGATAGACATACTTTGTCATTTTAGACAAAAATTGTGCTGGATTCTCTCCATGTATCTGTTTGGTTGTGCTGACCAGTCTTGTACTATACTAGTCCGAGGACCTCAATTGTCATATATATCATCTTGTGTAGAAAACTGTATGATTGTGTTTGCCATGAATAGTTTAGACTAATGTAGTAATAATGATACATGTATCAAGCTTCAGTTTTGATAAAAAATGGATAATACCTTGATCATATTATTGAAATAACCAGACACAAATTCTTCCCATATTAAAGCCTTGTTAATTCAGTGAGTAATTACCTCATAACATACAATGTAATCAATAGGTGGAAAGACAATTTATTTCATAGATAATCTTACCCTCCTGGATAACAGAGAAAGAGTACCCACAGGGATAACAGAAAAAGGCATACCTTTAGAGATTACAGAGAAAGTGTACCCACAGGGATAACAGAAAGGGCATACCTTTAGAGATTACAGAGAAAGTGTACCCACAGGGATAACAGAAAAAGGCATACCTTTAGAGATTACAGAGAAAGTGTACCCACAGGGATAACAGAAAAGGCATACCTTTAGAGATTACAGAGAAAGTGTACCCACAGGGATAACAGAAAAGGCATACCTTTAGAGATTACAGAGAAAGTGTACCCACAGGGATAACAGAAAAGGCATACCTTTAGAGATTACAGAGAAAGTGTACCCACAGGGATAACAGAAAGGGCATACCTTTAGGGATAACAGAGAAAGTGTACCCACAGGGATAACAGAAAGGCATACCTTTAGAGATAACAGAGAAAGTGTACCCACAGGCATAACAGAAAGACATACCTTTAGAGATTACAGAGAAAGTGTACCCACAGGGATAACAGAAAAGGCATACCTTTAGAGATTACAGAGAAAGTGTACCCACAGGGATAACAGAAAAGGCATACCTTTAGAGATTACAGAGAAAGTGTACCCACAGGGATAACAGAAAGGGCATACCTTTAGGGATAACAGAGAAAGTGTACCCACAGGGATAACAGAAAGACATACCTTTAGAGATTACAGAGAAAGTGTACCCACAGGGATAACAGAAAGGGCATACCTTTAGGGATTACAGAGATAGTGTACCCATAGGGATAACAGAAAGGCATACCTTTAGGGATTACAGAGATAGTGTACCCACAGGGATAACAGAAAGGCATACCTTTAGAGATTACAGAGAAAGTGTACCCACAGGGATAACAGAAAGGCATACCTTTAGAGATTACAGAGATAGTGTACCCACAGGGATGACAGAAAAGGCATACCTATAGAGATTACAGAGAAAGTGTACCCACAGGGATAACAGAAAAGGCATACCTTTAGAGATTACAGAGAAAGTGTACCCACAGGGATAACAGAAAAGGCATACCTTTAGAGATTACAGAGATAGTGTACCCACAGGGATGACAGAAAAGGCATACCTTTAGAGATTACAGAGAAAGTGTACCCACAGGTATAACAGAAAAGGCATACCTTTAGAGATTACAGAGATAGAGTACCTACAAGCTTAACAGGGAAATGTCAAAGAAATGTCATTATTGTGGGATAACACAGATAAAAGAGGAGATGATTGATGTTTGAATGACTGGTGTACATATTAGTCTAGGAAATCAAAGGAAGAAATGAAAGTAATGAAAATGGCTGAATTAACAAGAACTTTGACCAGATGCTTTAAATCTGATTCACAGATATGCTGATCCGAAATCTGATTGATAATTTAATTTTTTCACATTTAATTAGATTTGAATGAGATAGAAGTTTTGTATTTGATTTTGAACTGAAGTGTGACTATACAATATATTACTTTGTGTGGATTATTGGTGCAATAAACAGATATAGAAGATAATCAATTGTTATATGTGATGCTCTGTATCTTTATACAGTCTGTAATTAATGCAGCAGAATACTTTTTAGTTTACCTAAAATACAAGTAATTTAAAAAAAAAATTACTGACTCCAAAAACCTAATATTTTGATATGTAAGGCTATTTATAATTAAAATTTGATTTGATACAGCTGGTATGAGTAGATGATACTGGAAAATATAGAAATCAGTTCAAAGTCCATTTTATGATAACACACTGTGTTAAATTCGATGTCAGACGAGCAGTGTAAACCATCCAGAAACCAGTGATATGATATGTATATGTCTGATAGGTATTCTACAGGTACAGTAGTCTGTAGAAGGGAAGTAACCCTGTATATAGGTGTAAAGACAAGTGCTACAAACAATGAATTTACGTTTATCTTGTATAATCTATAATCTGATAAAACTTTTGTCTGATGGCCATGATATTTCATTAGCCTTGTATATCACTATCAATTACCTATGAATTATATAAGTGTTATGTATTATTTATCATGAGTTGTGAAGAAAGACAATCACTAGTTAAAGGAACTCACACAAGTTTTAAAATATGGCAGTTTTATTTCTATCCTTGAGTTTAACCTTTTAGAATATGTTACTTCTAGTAATAATATACTGATACAAGGAAAGTTAGTGATGATTGTCAGAAATGGTTCCGATGTTTGTGACCCCAATATTAACATACAAGTTTATATAAACAAGAAGATGAAACATATTCTTTCGAACATTAAGTGTGATATTCTAATTATCTCTCTGTTTATGACCCACTATCCCCAGATTTGGAGTTTCCATTGTGAATATTTTCGTCCACATCAGTTGTTGGAATAAGACACTAGTAGTACAGGTCTAATTGTTCAGGTTACTGTGTATTAATTGGTATCATTGAATGTCACTACTGATTGTTGGTATTACTTAAAAAGGAAGGAGAATGGATGCTTCAGTCAGTGTGGTAAAATTTCAGGGTCTTTATAAACCACTAAGGTCTCTCTGAGTAAGTGGTTTAAATAATTGGAACGGTTGAACTTGTTAAAAAAAACATCAGGTACAGATTGGGACCAAGACTGGACTGCAAAATATTTTGCACATGCAGATTGAGGGGTCCAGCTGTACTTGTCCGAAACTAACTTACTGAATATCATTAGATTTCAGAATTTCTGTATGATGTATATAACTCTGGAAACATTTTGCTGTTAGGTTTTGGTAAAAATGGATGGTATTTTATTTTTGATTCATTGTTTTATTCTTGACAGGAAATACAGAACCTGTGCATTTTGAGCTTTACTTATTTAAGTTTCAACAATGGCTACATGTGCATTCCTTTATAATGGAATAATTTTAGATCATTTGAACCATTTCAACTAAGTTATGTGAAAACTGGCTACAGTAGTCATATTACTATAATTCTGATTAGTCATAACAAAGAAGAATGACCATGACATGAAATACACCTGTACTTGGTGTATATAGAGATATAAACAAGATATCTACATTATCAATTTTTATATATTAAAGGTCAACAGTTAAAATGTTGATAAAGCAATTTTATTTGAGTAAGTAAGGACCCTTCAAGCCTGGGCTGTCAAGGTTACAGGTCATTTTTTTTATTTTTGCTTAAAATTCAAAATGATAGATGTTGGGGAAACCTACAAGCATTCACACAGACATAATGGAAAAGTATCACTGTCTTTGTTTAACAAGAAAATAGTGGTTGATGAGACAGAATAAACCCCTCTGACCTATTGGTCTGGTCAAGCTTAAGGAACTTCCCTCAAGGGCAAAGTTAAAACTGTATCTATGTACAATTAAAGGTCAAGGGAAGGTCTGCTTTTTTGTAATTATTATTATTTCAAAAGAAGGTAATATACCTTGTTTTACAAATACTGAACTTGTTTTAGAATTCAGATATTTGCTGGATATACGTATCCTTTTAACTGGAGATGTACTGTGGTGTGTACAATTAACTTTTCAATAAAGTCAAAGTGAGTTATAATTCTATAAAATAAAGTTATTAATTATTTCCATTTTCTTGTTTCTTCTTTGTATACTTATGCTATAGCAAAATATTTATGTCGCTGATATGCAAACATTTCCCTTGCGGATTATCTGCCATCCGACCAATGTTAAGCCATACCCTAAAATGGAGGGTGAAATTGAAGGTTTTATTTCTAGGAAGTGTTGTCTGCTATAAAAGGTAGCTCTGCTTAAAACTTTTTAATCCAAAGATGGACGTGGTATGTAATAAGTATGAATGAATTCGTAAAAAATCTTAACCAACGACAGGGCACCGACACAAAAATACAATCTAATTACTTGTCATCAAAGTGGAGCGCAATAAACTTGCATGATATATGAGTTCACCCAGGTGGGTCAAGAAGGTAATTTATAGACAGACGGATTCGTACGATAATATATCTTAATGTATTAATTTCTCAGCTCAATGAAGAAGGGCCATTTTAAAATAAAATTCATTCTCTTAATCATTCTTACATAATGGACGAAATATTAAATCATGTGATATTTCCCTATGTCTTCCAGCTTCTGTAAGCAGATTATGTGAAGAGAGACCTAATTTTACTATTGTCTTTTTTATATTTTGTTGGAGGTTTACTCAAATCAGATTGGAAACAAACATGATCGGCAATATGTTGATATACCAGACACTTCGGCGAAGGCTTCATAATCCTTTTTAAAGATATCAACAAGTCCCTGTTTCGCTAAAACCAAAAATGACGAATGTTAAAGCAACGCTGTGGATGCCATAAATCGGACATATCAAGAGAACAGAGCTCACGCTTAATAGACGGATCCCAATCGTTTACAATATGGGTTTGCTTCACACTCCATGTACATGTCTTGATAGCATTTAGTATACAATTGTGTGAATTTAAAAATTTGTACCACTATTTCAAAATTCTCAATACAAAATTTCACATGAACGTACTTTCAGAATGCCTTTTGTTTCGATCTGAACAGTAGACAATCATTGATTATGGCGTAGTCTCAATGCTTGGTATTAAACATGAAGCCTCCAAGGTATACGTTATTGAAATGATAGATGTATCGTCGCCATGTACAATCATTAATATTTTAAGTCGCTGATGTTTCGGATGGTTTCTATCGCAATGGAAAGACTGGTTCTATTTACCTGGGAATATACACTGAATAATTCAATTCTTTCTACATTAACTGTGAGACGGAATGTTTCACAATATTTTATTTCAATATCTCAGCAAAATAAAGACCTAAACGACCACCAATGGAATCTGTACAACATCAGTGGAGATTTCTTGAGAGGATAGTTACCCTACAAACTTCCGTGTTATCATAAATTCTAGATATGATATAATCATTGCCATTATTATCAATCGTCAGTATGAACACCATGACACATCATATATTATTGAACAGGAGTTCAACATATCTGTTCCATTAGGACACTTTACCTACATTCCGACAGTACTGCAGGTTTGAAGTGCTGCATACGTTCCTGGGCGTGTCGTACAACAAACTGGGACCGGCGAAAGCTTAAATACTTGTTCAACAATTTTAAATTCATAAAAAAAATCTCGATGCACTCAAAAACCTTATCAGGAATGAAGATCTGGCTAATCTCCGACAAAACAATTGCATCATGAATTTCCTTCTCTCTCTCTCTCTCTCTCTCTCTCTCTCTCTCTCTCTCTCCCTCTCTCTCTCTCTCTCTCTCTCTCTCTCTCTCTTATTGTCATTCATGTTCATTCTTATTCAAATGTGATGTTTTCAGTGGTTGTTAACTACGATATGCATAATCAATGACCATATCTCAATATATCCAATTAGCATCTATCTGTCGGGTTGACTGATAAGTTTCTACCATTGAGGGACCAGCTATCCTACACAGGATCACCAACATTCACTACATTTATGTTTTGTGATTGTTCACATTAAGATATAATCGTATGGTGCTGCTAGTTGTGGGTTATCTGTAGGTAAAGAGAGAGTGCAGTCATGCAGGTGTCGCTATCCCAAAGATGTATACAAACCGGACAATATTACTACATCGTAAAAGATCAACCCTTGAGTATAAGTCGACACTCGAACGATCGTCATGAAGAACACGGTAAATAGACTTTGTCAATAAATAAAAACTTGATTAATTTTATTCTACCTGAACACAGGTGAGTTGTGTACATATACGTTTTATATGTACTCGGTACCACTTCTATCTGAAGCATTATAATATCGATAACAGCTTACCGTGACGTGATGGTATCCAGTACACACACAGATCAACAGCCATACCAACTCTGCTTCATTTGATCCAACTTCACAGTATCAAAAAAAAATGTCGGGGACACTACCAGCACACGACCGTCGGACTGTTCAAGACAGACGGACGATAAATGGTTCGAAAAATTCTGTTGCGACTGTTGCGTCTGTGGATGGTAAGAAGGGAGGAGGGAGGTATACACTTCCCTTTATGAAAGAGGACCCATACACTGATTTAGTTCTTGTGATTGAGGAGAAGAAACTTTTCTTAAATCGCTCACTCTTGGGCTGTGCATCTGTCTATTTCAATCAAGTACTGACAGAACATGAAAAGAAAAAATCCGAGACATTGGAGCTAAAGATTGTTGGTAATGTTTACCAGGAGTTTGTGGATCTTCTATCTGTTCTACACCCAGCAGTCAACAAAGACCTTAACGGTACGTCATCAGTTTAACGGCTCTACCTGTGTAATCTACCAATGTCATGACAACAACTTAGAATATAATGTTATATTATCATTAGATCGTTCATACAGAAGCGTCTACTTTGCTAATCTTAGATGTACATATTGGCGTGGTGTTATGATGAGTTTTATTACATAGTAAATATAAATTTTGAGCCCTCTTCGGTTAACGTTGGTTTCTGCATAAATTTGTTTAGTCAGGACTGTCCAGTTTTAAGAACAGACGAATTTATAGTCCACACCACAGGGACTTGGCACGAATTTCCGACACATAGTCCATATATATATATTATAGTTACTATAATACATATGTATGTTCTGTGGATTGGCTTTGGTCTGAACAAGTTCTAAAATAATCCTACCTAATTTCTGCGTATGGTTAACCCTATTACTGTGATCTGTTGGCTTCTTCAATAGCCTTGGACTTTTCATTTCTGTATACAGCAGAACATCATCATTTTTTTTTTTTTTTTGTCGGGACAGTTGTTTTAGTAGAATGTCATTACTGTTGACGTTATATCAGTATCATAACACCGGAAAAGGTTATGTTTAAATCAGAACACAAATAAAACCTCAGAGGTAATGTAGAACTTCGTCAGTTTGTATACCTCTGTATATCACTTACTCGGACAGTTTGGTTTTTTAGGTACAATAGTCCATTTAATACACGTCTGGACACTTTGGTTTGTGTTCAGCAAATGTTCGTACGTCTGGACACTTTGGTTCGTGTACAGCAAAAGTTTGTACGTCTGGATACTTTGTTGGGTGTACAACAAAAGTTCGTACGTCTGGACACTTTGGTTTGTGTACAGCAAATGTTCGTACGTCTGGACACTTTGGTTCGTGTACAGCAAAAGTTCGTACGTCTTGACACTTTGGTGTGTGTACAGCAAACAAAAGTTCGTACGTCTGGATACTTTGGTTTGTGTACAGCAAAAGTTCGTACGTCTTGACACTTTGGTGTGTGTACAGCAAAAGTTCGTACGTCTGGACACTTTGGTTTGTGTACAGCAAAAGTTCGTACGTCTTGACACTTTGGTGTGTGTACAGCAAAAGTTCGTACGTCTGGACACTTTGGTTTGTGTACAGCAAAAGTTCGTACGTCTGGGCATTTTGGTTTGTGTACAGTAAAAGTTCGTATGTCTGGACACTTTGGTTTGTGTACAGCAAAAGTTCGGACACTTTGGTTTGTGTACAGCAAAAGTTCGTACGTCTGGGCATTTTGGTTTGTGTACAGTAAAAGTTCGTATGTCTGGACACTTTGGTTTGTGTACAGCAAAAGTTCGTACGTCTGGACACTTTGGTGGTGTACTTTGGTTTGTGTACAGCAAAAGTTCGTACGCCTGGACACTTTGGTTCGTGTATATCAAAAGTTCGTATGTCTGGACACTTTGGTGGGTGTACTTTGGTTCGTGTACAGCAAAAGTTCGTACGTCAGGACACTTTGGTTGGTGCACAGCAAAAGTTCGTACGTCTGGACACTTTGGTGGGTGTACTTTGGTTCGTGTACAGCAAAAGTTCGTACGTCTGGACACTTTGGTTCGTGTACATCAAAAGTTCGTATGTCTGGATACTTTGGTGGGTGTACTTTGGTTCGTGTACAGCAAAAGTTCGTACGTCTGGACACTTTGGTTCGTGTACAGCAAAAGTTCGTACGTCTGGACACTTTGGTGGGTGTAGAGCAAAACTTTTACAATTTAAAAAGGTCTAGTTAAATGAGAACGACTATGTGTACCTTTATTTCAGTGTGGGTAATTGTATTTTATAAATGGGAAATGATCTGTTTAAAAGAAATTTCATCATGAATAAACCTTCCATGTTGCTTCAATGACCTTTCATGTTATTTCAAATTTTCTATAAGATAGAGTATTTCAAGTCCGGAATGGAACGACCCTTTCCGATGTCCATCAGCAGGAAATGGGTATACCACAAGGTAGCATTTTTTCGGTTACACTTTTTGGACTTAAAATTAACTGCATTATCAAAACAGTATCCCCTTCAATGGAAGGCGCTCTTTATCTCCACGATTTCATCATATGCTATTGATCCAAGCATATGAATACCATTGAAAGACAACTACTACAACAATGTTTGAATCGACTACAAATTTGGGAAGATGAAAATTGTTTTAAATTTTCACAATCAAAAACAGTTAGTATGCATTTTTGTCCAATTCGGAAACAACACGACGATCCAAATCTGTCTGTCTGTGGTGTACCCATTCCGGTTGTTGAGCAAACGAAAATCTCAGGTGTAATATTCGACAGGAAATTGTCGTTCCTTCCACACATAAAATACCTTAAAGCCAAATGCCTTAAGGCACTGAATATTCTAAACGTTGTGTCCCACACTGATTGGGGAGCTGATAGAAAAGTTTTGCTAAGACTCTATAGAGCTCTTATTAGATCAAAATTGGACGGTTCCGTCGCGTATGGATCTGCTAGACCTTCATATCTAAAATTATTAGACACTGTTCATCACCAAGGTCTCAGGCTCGCTCTTGGAGCTTTTAAGACAACACCTACAGCAAGCCTCTATGTAGAGGCTAACGAACCATCACTATATAGCCGTTGAAATAAATTGGCTTTGAAATACACCATTCAGCTAAGGTCAAATATATCAACACCTCAAATTTAAACTGCAAGGTGAGAAATATCAGGATGGAAATTAAAGTTGTCTTGTAACGACCCGTCTGACATGTTGCTTCATTAACCTGTCTTTTCAATGTACAGGTTTAACTTCACTTTTGAGTAAACGAAAAACTTCATAATACAATATCTAAATCTACTTGGTCTGTTTTTTAATTATGGATGGTAAGGTAATATCCTCAGATAGCGGTTGATTTGATCCAACTGTTTCGAAAGATTACAGTAAACGAAACTGTTTCATCTTGTGAAGGGCATGCATAACTCCAGGAAAATGTCAAAAATGTTATCATCGGTTCAAAAATACTACTAACGTAACAGTGAACCGATTTGCGCATCAAATACATTACTAATGTCGTTCTGTTGAATTCTGTATGTGGACGGTTTTGAAAAGTTTTGCTCAAGATTGCTCGATGGATTCGCCGGGCCTTTTTTCAGTGATAAAACATTCTTCTGTTCACTTGTTGTATATGTATGTAGGTTAACTGTTTGACAAGCATTTCGTAAATAAATAAAGACAATGGCATCGCGCAACAACGAATTTGAAAAGAATATTCAACACAAGTTTTCCTTTTTTATCGTTTTCTGATACGTTCGCTTACAAATATCATCAATTGTTTCATCAACTGTTGAAGTAAATAAATCAACACGGTACAATTGTATGCATCAAATGACCACCTATTCTAAGCAACCTTTCATTTCTATTTGAACTGAACATCTAGTCACTTTTATACAGAGCGAAAGGAGAACCAGGCGACGATAAAGTCATATTGTAATATCTTTGTGCGAAAAAAACAATAAAGAGGCATTTGAAATCCGTCCTTTAGAGAAGATGAAACAACGAAATGGCACAAACCAGTCACCTTTTCATAACTCATAACAATGTTAAAAATAAAAGTCATTTTCAGGTCGATCCAATTTTTCACTGGTAAAACTGTAATATCAGTGTTTTATACCGATATGTTAAGATGTGTGACTGGAAGTTTATGTATAACAGGCATTACGCAGCCCTTGGAGACTAGCTCAAGTCACTATTTAATTCATTAAATCCAACTTTCTTTCATGCCTTTCAGTGTAACTAATCTTAAGCACGTATTGTTTTATTTTACACAGAAAAGACGGCACTCAGGTTGTTACCTCTTTTGGAGGAGTATAAGATGAATGTAATGAAAGAAAAATGCGAAAGGGTCTTGTTGAACTGTTTGAAGAAACTTCCGTTAGATTCCATAACTGTCACCACCTCATCTAGAAATAAAAAAGACGACCCAGCTGACATTTTAGTGAGATATATAAGGGTTGCGGAGGCTGGAAGTTCGACAACTGTGTTGGACCAATGTGTCAAGATGTTCTCAGAATCTAACGTGTCTTTAGAGGAGCTGAAGGCAAACTCACAAGTTTCACACCGCATCAAAGCACAAGTGTTCCAGAATCGTATGGATTCTACAATGAAACAGCTGGTAAAGGTCGAGGCCGAACTGGAACGGGAAAAACAGGAAAACGAGGCTTTAAGAAAGCGTCGGGGTGGGAAACCCTATCATGGCAGTGTGGATGACGTCAGCAAGATTCAGCCTACACCATCTAAGACAGTACCCATCCAGCGCGGCGCGCGCAGATATAAGGTTGTCAACACAGAAAATCTCTCTAACAGCAGATCCCTTCTTAAATGAACAGTGATCAGATTCCTGACTTAGTGTAGCCGAGGAAATTTGTAGTCTTGATAAATTTGATATTTATATGAACTGATATTTCTAAACATGTAAATAACTTATATTTTCATGGCTATCCAACTTCAATATAATTATATATTTCTTCTAATTCTTATATAAACAGTTTTGTTTAAAATTAGCTTACAAAATCAAATGTGAGATTTCACTTTGAAGAGTTTAAGTTTATATAAAGTTATTTATTGCATGCTTTTTGATATTCCAATATTAAAAACTGTTGTGTTGATTTGTTTTATAATCTTATGCTTGATGCAATAATGTTATCGTTAGTTTACGTACTGGACATTGAGAAGCTGTTAGTTGGCATTCTGGGGCAATATGAATTTAACTGGGTGAGGTTAAAATCAATGTATATACCTCCATTCTTTTAGCATTTATACTACCCGTGCACACAAACTAAAAACGGTTGGTAGTACATAAGCAATGTCATAAAGGTAAATTTATGTTTATAGTAACAAACCTATCAACGGAACGGCAAGATGACCACGTGACCCCAAAACTTGTGTTCTAATCATCTACGTCACACCAAGTAGTTGTGGACTGATGTTATTATGACGTCAAATTTCCGAAAAGCTTCCAATTGGTGTCACATTATCATTATGGTAAGATAAAAGATCCACGGAGTTAGTGTTTTATGTTATGTCATATACATATACAACACAATAATTAACAGGCATTCTTGACACGCGCGCGCGCGCGCGGGTATCGTCTCACTGACCAACGTCAGTGTTACTGTTCGTGGTTGAGCCTCATTAAAGCTAGTGATTACATATATATTTATACTACTTACATCAACACAATAAGCTTTATCTACTTTTTTGATTGTTTTTATCCTTTTTTTGTTTCCTACCTAACAATGTTAAAAGTATTTTGACAAAAAATGTAGCTATATTACTGCTCTGGTTGGTTGGGATTGACGTATGTTGTCTTAACCTGGAATAACCGAGGAAAACCCACTGATTAGTTGACTTATTAACAGGCATTTTTGTCTCCGTGACTCCTCCCGAGTTCGGGTATCGTCTCACTGACCAACGTCAGTGTTCTGTTCGTGGTTGAGCAGGTAAACTCATACCTACCTCGTATATTGACACGCATATGCCCAATTGGGAAATCGAACACAGATCGTCTGTGCAATTCGACTTCTCTGCCTGTAAATCAGTGTTTGATTGACTGTCTATTACAGCTAGTCAATCATTTAAATAAAATACCAAGTTGGTAATACTGTACTATTGTTTTTGCAGCGAGTCTCCTGAAGATCATTCACAAGAAACGTCCGATACATATATATTTATACTATACTTCGGGAAATACCTGCATCTCCCCGACATCCATATTTTGAAATGGATTCATTCTTTAATCAATAAAATGAAGCTATTAACTGATTTTGTCCTGTTTACGTTAAGAAAAGTTTGTAAGAAACGTAGCAAGTACCCCAATGTCCAAAAAGTCTCCCATGTGACGTCTTTGGAATCGTGTAGTTGTTACACCAGTCAGTCGACCTCAGTGATCAGTGTATTATAATCAACATCCATCCCTGTATAACTTCGTGACCTTTTACTTTCCTAAAATGATTTTCCCGATTAAACTATTCAGTTAAAGAGTCGGCAGTGCTCCGCCGTGAGGAGCAATGCTGTAATATATGTAGTTACATTACGAGGTTAATCGATTCCTAGCTCCACTTTAAACTACGCCCGTACCTTCATTGATATACAACTGTAATCAAAGACCATTTGAGTGGCCTTTTTATTAGACCGTATTTATACAACAGTTAAATCATTCTTTCGGCAACATTTCGTTATCAGAAGGCGGTGATTTATGGTCATTTTCTGGTGTCAAAGAAATGTTATTTTATCGATTTTCTCGTTACATTACCTACTTGGTATTTGGGTCGGTATTATAAACAGTTATAACACGTTGGTTTACATGTACATTATAAACTGTCTTGTAAAAGTTGATCTCTACAACTATAAACAGTTATAACATGTCAGTGTACAAGTTGATCTCTACAACTATAAACAGTTATAACACGTCGTTGTACAAGTTGATCTCTACAACTATAAACAGTTATAACACGTCGGTGTACCTGTACATTATAAACAGTCTTGTACAAGTTGATCTCTACAACTATAAAAAAGTTATAACACGTCGTTGTACAAGTTGATCTCTACAACTATAAACAGTTATAACACGTCGGTGTACTTGTACATTATAAACAGTCTTGTACAAGTTGATCTCTACAACTATAAACAGTTATAACACGTCAGTGTACAAGTTGATTTCTACAACTATAAACAGTTATAACATGTCGGTGTACCTGTACATTATAAACTGTGTTGCACAAGTTGATCTCAATATTTTTTCTAAGCATTCTCAGATTAAACCTGAAATACATATTGTTGTATGGTCTAAGTATACATTGTCATCAAATACTGCTGTATGGTCTAAGTATACATTGTAACCAAATACTGCTGTATGGTCTAAGTATACATTGTCATCAAATACTGCTGTATGGTCTAAGTATACATTGTCATCAAATACTGCTGTATGGTCTAAGTATACATTGTCATCAAATACTGCTGTATGGTCTAAGTATATATTGTCATCAAATACTGCTGTATGGTCTACCAAATACTGCTGTATGGTCCAAGAATATATTGTAACCAAATACTGCTGTATGGTCTAAGTATACATTGTCATCAAATACTGCTGTATGGTCTAAGTATACATTGTCATCAAATACTGCTGTATGGTCTAAGTATACATTGTCATCAAATACTGCTGTATGGTCTAAGTATACATTGTCATCAAATACTGCTGTATGTTCCAAGAATATATTGTAACCAAATACTGCTGTATGGTCTAAGTATACATTGTCATCAAATACTGCTGTATGGTCTAAGTATACATTGTAACCAAATACTGCTGTATGGTCCAAGAATATATTGTAACCAAATACTGCTGTATGGTCCAAGCTGTATGGTCCAAGAATATATTGTAACCAAATACTGCTGTATGGTCCAAGAATATATTGTAACCAAATACTGCTGTATGGTCTAAGTATACATTGTCATCAAATACTGCTGTATGGTCTAAGTATACATTGTCATCAAATACTGCTGTATGGTCTAAGTATACATTGTCATCAAATACTGCTGTATGGTCTAAGTATACATTGTCATCAAATACTGCTGTATGGTCCAAATATATATTGTCATCAATATAGCATTTCTGTCAAATACAGCTGTATGGCCCAATTATATATATATATATATATATATATGTATTGAAATATAGTTGTATAGCCCAATCGTATACATTGTAATCAAATATATCTGTATAAACCAAGACTTTATTATCAAATATAGCTGTAAGGCAGAAGTATATGTTGCTGTCAAATACAGCAGTAGGGAAATCATTTCATTCTTGCGATAAGTCTCAAAACTAAGGAAGCATAGTTAGGGACAAACAAAATGTAATTTACGGAAAATCCATCGAAGATTTCTTGAGGAACAATTCTAACTAAATTAACAGTTTAAAATACAAAGAAAGAAGCTTTCAAGATTTGCAGATCAGTCTTAAAATTACACATCTTCTTGAAATATAGTGACTTACAACATGGATAAAGACAAAAGCAAGTTGACACCCAAATACTATAAAACTGTGGGAAGTTCATGTCATGATCTACCCTTTGTATCTTTGGTATATCTCATAAGGTTTATCTCCTCCCAACAAAACACTTGTAGTAGTGTGTCTTATACATAAACGTTTGTACTGTTGTAGGACAGCTTGATATCAATAACACATTTCACTCTTTAAGCACTTTTTAATAGGAACTGGTGGAAACTGTAACAAAAGCAATCCAACAACATAATAACAATAATACTTTATAATATTCCATCTGGTCATATTAATGTGACACAAATATGGACAGAGATGTTTAATGACTGTACACTGCTGTACTACACTGTTTATGTTCTTGTTATAATACTGCTGTATAAATATTACTCTTTTACTAAGTTCTAAGAAATATTGGTAATCAGCAGAATTGTCGCACCAATGATAAATATTAATCAAACGTGAATGACAAGGACATGTGAATCAATCACATAGTAGAGGTTGTTGATGCACACACATAAAAACTCATTTTCCCCTAAGAATAGTTATCCAAATGTATCTATTTAAGAATGAGATTATCCATTTTGTCAATTAAATAATTTCCACAGGCCAGTAATATCAAGAAATGATTATCTATCACAACATATGTAATAATAACTATTAATTGCAGGTTTCTGATAATAAAAATTTCAGTAAAATTCATTGAAAATAGGATATTATTTTAAAAATTAAAATAAAACCATCCAAGCTATTTGTTTGGAGTGTTCATGGTCAATTCCTGTGATACACTGACAATGTCCACACTGTTGTTGTGAAGTATTCGAGGTCAAATCCTGTGATACACTGACAATGTCCACACTGTTGTTGTGAAGTATTCGTGGTCAAATCCTGTGATACACTGACAATGTCCTTAAGTTCTGAACAGGATGGTGGTAGTGACAATGAACACTATATCAATCATTTTTATCACAAGAATTCATCATCATTATAAACACTAATCACATAAATCAACAAAACAAATCATGAAAGACAATGGTATATAGAAATGTTTATAAAGTCATATGTCTTTGGAGGTTTGCATCAATTGTTTCGATCTATCATTTACCAACAGTTAATCAATGAAATCAAAGACAAAGTTAGTTTCTGTATATAAAGTTTCACAATTGTCTATCATAGATGGCATTTAGACTCTTCTGCACTTTGAACTAGACCAGCCTTCCTTGGAACTAAGGCTGGAAAATTTGGATTTACTCAATGTCAGTTCACCAGGATGAATTGTCACCACGAATATCTCTGCTTCTTATTTTCCAAATTGCCTGCAAGAAAAAAGAAAGGAAGAAAATTAGAGAACAAATTCCTTTATTCAAATGTATTAGGTCATTTTTTTCCAAGCCAGACAATTACAGACTTCTAAAGTAGATGATTCCCATATCTTTATACCTACCGTAAAGTCAACATCTTCCTTGGCAATGCCATATTTCTTGTTTGCCATTTCTGCAATTTCATCTGCAATAGTCTGCTGAACAGTCCCTTTCACATCCACAAAATGGCAGTCACCACTGGCATAGTGACAGGATATGGCCTTGAAACACATACATATAAATATGTCTTAGTGACAGGATATCACCAGGAAACACATACATATAAATATGTCTTAGTGACAGGATATGGCCTTGAAACACATACATATAAATATGTCTTAGTGACAGGATATCACCAGGAAACACATACATATAAATATGTCTTAGTGACAGGACATCACCATGAAACACATACATATAAATATGTCTTAGTGACAGGATATCACCAGGAAACACATACATATAAATATGTCTTAGTGACAGGATATCACCATGAAACACATACATATAAATATGTCTTAGTGACAGGATATCACCATGAAACACATACGTATAAATATGTCTTAGTGACAGGATATGGCCTTGAAACACATACATATAAATATGTCTTAGTGACAGGATATCACCATGAAACACATACATATAAATATGTCTTAGTGACAGGATATCACCATGAAACACATACATATAAATATGTCTTAGTGACAGGATATCACCATGAAACACATACATATAAATATGTCTTAGTGACAGGACATCACCAGGAAACACATACATATAAATATGGCTTAGTGACAGGACATCACCATGAAATATATAATGATATCTACCTCAGTAGAGAGGTTTCTTTGGGGACAAATTCAGGAGACATATTTTTAGGAAATACTTCATTAGATATTTTTTTTGCAAGAATTTCAAAATATTTTTTTACGGACTACTTCAATATGAATATATTTTGGGGACAACTTCAGCAGATATATTTTTTAGGGAATATTTAAAAGATTTATTTTTTGAAGGAATGTTTCAATAGATATTTATTTCTAGGGATTGCTTCACTTCAAATATTTTAAGGGACTACTTCAGTAGGTATATTTTTGAAAGAATACTTCAGTATATATATTTTAATTTTCATATTGTATCATATTTTTCTGTATTTAACCCTCTGCCCTGTTCAGCCAGACTTTGTCAGTTATAATATATACCTTTCTGAATCCCTCTGTCTTGTTCATGCCGGATCCGTGGATCAACAGAGGATGGAAAAACACTGTGTCTCCTGGTTCCATCACAAGGTGAACTCGGGCTGTGTTGGGATCAAAGTCACGAACACCATGATAATATTTGTTAACGCCACCCTGATCAAAACACAATGAAATTCTTTAAGCTTCCACAATAAAAATATCTAGTAATTAATTTGTCTATTAATTTCAGATAGGAATATATGTACAATGATAAACTTCAGGTCAGAGAAAACAGAAATAAGTATGATATTAATTTTTAGTATTAACAGACAGGAGCCACACTACAGATTTTGTATAAATTACCTGAACACCTTGAGTATAATACACTTAACAATATCACAAGTTCCTAGTGTAACCAATATTGATGCTGATGAGAAATAATCATGTATTTTAAATTTTCAAAAGTGTGGTTACCTATGTATTACCTAACCAACACTCCAGTAAAATGAAAGCCTGATACACTAAGGTATCTTTCAGGAATGACTAACAGTGAAAACAGTCTACCATTAATCATATTTTATGTAATAAATGATGAAAACCTTCAGTGTAGTATATGGGATATCACAATCCAACTTCAATAATTCTTCACTTTAAAAAAATCTTACAAACATGGTCATCAAATGAATCCATTTCTCACCTCCCATTCAGGATAGTCATGCTGGAGTAACTTCCCTTTGTGAGTACCAGGAAGTACTACTAAACAGCCATTTTGTCGGTTAACTTTCTCCATGGCTGTCCAGGCACACACAACTCTATTGGCTGGTCGGAAGGGAAAGTAATACAGGTCCTGGTGCATTGGGTGACGAGAAGATTTCATACCTGCCCATGTGAAATTTTAACTAATACTTTACTTTTAGTAACAAGTAAACTTGTCAGAATAATTACTTCACAAATGAAATTTTATTTGATTCTGAGTTTAACAATCCCCTTAACATGTCCATACCTAGGCATGTGCAAATATTGATTGGACCCTGTTGTAAACAGAAACTTGATTTTACAAGATAATGCAAAGCATGACATTATCTCTCGCGCCCCACTGTTTAAAAGAAAGACACACAATCATACATATATATGTTAATATTACAACAAGTTTAATTTCTATTTGTTATTTTGAATTGTTACATACAAAGTATAGAAATGGAAAACTTCTTCTAGTAAATACCTAGAACGGTTTAAGAGAACCAGTCTTAAAAATCTTAACTTTGTGATTTGGCCTATCTGTTTCCATGGTAACAGAAAAAGTATTTAAATGGAGAACTTCCCCATAGCAAAAGATACTACTAGCTTAATAAGTGTAAAACGTTGCAGCAATTATCTTGACCAGTTTTAGAGCACTGGTCCGGAAAAACTGAAATTTGCAATAAGAGTTATCTGTTTCCATAATAACAGAAAAAAAATTTAACTAGGGCACTAACCTAATATGTACAGAAAGTTTTGTTGAGTCGAGTGGAATATTTTTGAAGTTATAGCCCGGCAAAAGCCCTCCAGAGGACGGACCAATGCATGAACACATGCATGGAAGGACAGGGACCAATTTAATATCCCCAGGAAACAAATTTCACAAGGGATGATAAACATAAAAATCCAAACCTGTGCTACCTAAAGCACAGTCTTCTGGTATTCATTGTTAAATAAAGCTTAGGCTATATGTGAAATTATATTCCAATCTACTGCTATAGGTTTGGTATCCTGGCATGATAAAAAAATGAATAATTACCTGGATCTGGTGGTTTGTTGATAAGCATGGTGTGCATTGCTTTCACATTAGGACCAACAAAGGCCTCCACATAGTCTACAACCTAATATCATATAAACTGTTACAACCACTACAATATGTACAAGTAGATTTGTATTTCAAATGCTTCAACATTTTGAGAACAAAAGTGAATATGAGGTTACAAAATTTATGCGTATTACAAAAAAGAGTGCAACTGCTAATACCCTTACTATCTTAACCTACAACAGAACTGAGCTGCCTTGCAGGTAGGACATCAAAGTTTTACATGGTGCCTCCACTGTATGATCATAAGAGGAAACTTAACTCGGGATTTTTATATTTTCCCTCTTTTCTTTAAAAATCTTTCTTTTTCCTCTCTCCTTTGACACTGCCCCACTTTTGGTCTTACTTTACAAAAACAAAAGTTACTACTGCTTGCAGAATGTACTACGGTAGATGCCCATTGTCAGTATAATGTGACGTCATAAAAGGATGAGCCTTCCACAGTATCGTTCAGTGTGTTAGCACTATATAGTTGGCTTTAGTTCCACACTATCAAAAGGAGGCCTACACAACATATTATAGCCAAATGCACTCAACATATACACTCACCTCGCATAAGTTTTCCTTAAATGACCATAGATGTTGATAAGTCTTCAAACAATATAAACCAAACCCAAATGGAGTTACATGTACTTTGTTGTTGACTTACATGTTAATAATCATTTTTTTAACTAACAACATTAACTCAAGTACATTCATTTTTACTTCTTGTTTGTGTCGGTGTTATCTCCACCCAATGGTAAAAATACCCTTAAACCATATCCTGTATACATTGTATCTATCACAAGTATTTCATAACCTATTCTATACTATACCTGTGGTTTGCTGCAGTAACTGAAAAGGACGTCATCGTTCTGGAAGTCCTGAACCTTAGTGATAGCCTTCTGATCAGCAACATACTCAGTCTTGGCGATAGTGATGTCACGCATGATAGTGATACCCGGGACGGTGACTTCATTACGGCAGATCTTTTCAAACTGGGCCCTGCATCAACATCAATTCATACTAACAACAGATGTTCTAACTGGGCCCTGCATCAACAACAAATCATACTAACAACAGATGTTCTAACTGGGGTCTGCATCAACATCAAATCATACTAACAACAGATGTTCTTATTGGGCCCTGCATCAACATCAAATCATACTAACAACAGATGTTCTAACTGGGCCCTGCATCAACATCAAATCATACTAACAACAGATGTTCTTATTGGGCCCTGCATCAACATCAAATCATACTAACAACAGATGTTCTAACTGGGCCCTGCATCAACATCAAATCATACTAACAACAGATGTTCTTACTGGGCCCTGCATCAACATCAAATCATACTAACAACAGATGTTCTAACTGGGCCCTGCATCAACATCAATTCATACCCTGCAACATCAAATCAGATGTTCTAACTGGGCCCTGCATCAACATCAAATCATACTAACAACAGATGTTCTAACTGGGCCCTGCATCAACATCAAATCATACTAACAACAGATGTTCTAACTGGGCCCTGCATCAACATCAAATCATACTAACAACAGATGTTCTAACTGGGCCCTGCATCAACATCAAATCATACTAAAAATAGATGTTCTTATTGGGCCCTGCATCAACATCAAATCATACTAACAACAGATGTTCTAACTGGGCCCTGCATCAACATCAAATCATACTAACAACAGATGTTCTAACTGGGCCCTGCATCAACATCAAATCATACTAACAACAGATGTTCTAACTGGGCCCTGCATCAACATCAAATCATACTAAAAATAGATGTTCTTATTGGGCCCTGCATCAACATCAAATCATACTAACAACAGATGTTCTAACTGGGCCCTGCATCAACATCAAATCATACTAACAACAGATGTTCTAACTGGGCCCTGCATCAATGTCATTTCATATTCAAGACATATTAAACTTATTCAAGTAAGAATTAACTTTCACATTTCCTTTATAATGGAATCCATTTAAAAAAAATTGTATTGTCATTCAGTATAAGGGACTTCTGTTATACAGGGGAAACTACAAATAAAATTTGAAAAAGTTCCATCCAGTACTTCTCAAGAAACAGAGATAACTAACATTCATTGTCAAAATCCAAAATAGCCACCTATCAGCCATTTTGCTTTTCTGACCTGTTTCCAAACCAAATCACCACAACAAGGGTCCAATGGTTTCTCTCTTTGAGTGAAGATATTGAATTAAGGTATGATAAAATGGTACAACACTACACTGCACAGTATACGTCAGTTCTGTATGTGTACATCTCCTGTTTCTCTCTTTGAGGGAAGATATCAAACTAAGTTATGATATAAAGGTACACAGTATACTGAAGTTCTGTACCTGTACATCTCCAGGTCCTCTTTTCCCACTAATCCCTTGATAACCAAAAATCCATTTTTCTCGTAATGTGCACGTTGTTCCTTGCTGAGCAATGGAGACTCAAGCGTGTACTCAAAGTGGTCAGTGGGCATAGAGAGGGCAGCAGCCTCCTGTGTCTGTGGACAGATCAACAATCACTACATGACTGTCACTCTGGACATCATACATGGATTAAAATTTATAATGTACCTTAATTATATCACATGATTTATGGATATGATTGAGGGGGCAGAAATGTAACTGCATTATTCTATTAAACACGGATAAATTTAATAATTTGGGGGCATTAAATAAAGTTTGTTAAAGATATATATGCATTCTATTTAAAAACAACATCCTGCCTGGCACACCAAAATATACATCAGTATATAACTACTATAATTATAATTAGTTATAATTACTACACACCAAAATAAGTTTCTTGGCGGTATTACACATGTAGAGTGCAACATGGTTAATATACACCAAAACATGGCATCACAAGCGATAAAGATGCCCTCACTCCCATTTATAATGAAGTTTGGTAAAGACCACGTCCCTGGTGTTACATCTAATTGTGTCTAGCTAAATCACTCACTAATTCATCCTCTAATAATTGATATACTGGTAATTGTATTTATATATTATCAACACAAATGTAAGATATAACTATTAATGGTGACCTTGACATTGACCCTGGAAAACAGAAACACCAACTAGTTCAAATACCTAGGTACATGTATTATGACACTTGACCAATATGTGAAGTTTAATCAAAGTCTGTTGAGGAACGAAGTTGCTAGAGTGATGACACAGATTTCTTTAAATAATAATGGTGACCTTGATGTTATTCCTGACACACTGAAACACAAACTTGTTCAAGGTATGTTGATACTTGAGCAATATGTGAAGTTTGACCAAAATTGGTTGAGAAATGAAGTTGCTAGAGTGATGACACTGATTTTCTATAAATAGCAACGGTAACCTTGATGTTATTCTGAAACACGGACTCGTTCAAGGTATTTTGATACTGGAGCAATATGTGAAGTTTGATCAAAATTGGTTGAGAAATGAAGTTGCTAGAGTGATGACACTGATTTTCTATAAATAGCAACGGTAACCTTGATGTTATTCTGAAACACGGACTCGTTCAAGGTATTTTGATACTGGAGCAATATGTGAAGTTTGATCAAAATTGGTTGAGAAATGAAGTTGCTAGAGTGATGACACTGATTTTCTATAAATAGCAACGGTAACCTTGATGTTATTCTGAAACACGGACTCGTTCAAGGTATTTTGATACTGGAGCAATATGTGAAGTTTGATCAAAATTGGTTGAGAAATGAAGTTGCTAGAGTGATGACACTGATTTTCTATAAATAGCAACGGTAACCTTGATGTTATTCTGAAACATGGACTCGTTCAAGGTATTTTGATACCGGAGCAATATGTGAAGTTTGATCAAAATTGGTTGAGAAATGAAGTTGCTAGAGTGATGAGTGATCCCTTCCTCCATCACCACGAAGGAATAATAAGCTTGTTGGCAGCATAACACATACAGCACAACATGGTTACTACATATCAGAATAAGCATGTTGTTAATAATGTATATATGGATGTCTTATATAGACTATATGCTAACTGAATACCTTTGTGTGATAGAATTCATATTTCAGCTATCCAAAGCTTTATTTTACAAATTAACTTCAACTGTTTGACCTTAACTGTAAGATCTCATTATAAATGTATATGAATATAATACACAGGATAGTTGAAATAACTGCCAGTGTAGATTGCGCCATAATCAAAGCATGCTGATATTTATAGAGATACAACATTAGCCTAGATTTATCAATTCTAGAGATAAAAACCTACAGAGATTATCACTGACTTATTCTGATACACATTATAACCAGGTTTTCTATGAAGTCTGCTCACATAGGAAGAAGACATATAAACTATTAATTACATAAATGTACAGTTACCATACAAATGGACAAAACTGAAATCAGTTTTCAGTTGATGAAAAAAAAATTTGTTTGGCAAAAAGGAAGAAACAAAACATCATTGCAAATTGCTACCAAGGTAATGTATAATGTATGATTTGTATTTATATAATTATTAAGTTAATGAGATACAAATATGTCAAGGGTGAAAAACGGTAAGCAGTAAAACATGTAATACAATCATAATGTACATATACATGTACCTGGTGAAGATATGGGACACTCCCTATCAGTTAACTGTGATAAACAGATAACCAAATACAGGGACAATGTTCCAATCTGTTACTGGAATATTTCATCTAATGATTAACTAAATCATGGCTATAAATACAGTGTCCAACAGAGAACATGTGATTCTCATACACAATCTGCATTAAATGTCAAGCTTGTCAACAAGATAGCAGAAAAGATTTAAGTTTGCTTGTTGTTCATAGTCCCAATAATATCAACAACAAAGCGAAGTTTTGTATGAAACAGAAAGTTATTTACAATAATTGTATACATATAGAGTTAAAACATATTAATGTGTATACACATTTACTTATAACTTTTGTATAATAACATGTATAGCTACAAGTATTCATGGATTTCTTTAAATTCTTCTTTCCTCTCTAATGTTATAGCTATAGAATTATATAAGTAAAACAAAGGAATCTCAACATCCACGAACAGTTCTTCTTTTTATTCCGTTTGGTACATTGTCGACATGTTTTGACCGCTATGCTGTGTACAGCTATAGAATTAGATAATCACCAAGTTCATAACTTAAAATTGAAAAAAAATCACATGTTCATGTTATTTTGTAGCTTTATTTCAAAATTTTTTATCACAGTAAATGACTCTACTACAGTGTTAGACATTCCATTCATTTTTCCTTTTCTAATCACCAATTTGTTTACACATGATCAACAATAGGTTGCCTTGACTATCACTCTGTTGCTAGCCAAAACATGGCAGCCATCTTTCATGTGAAGCAGAAGGTGACAACTGGGAAACTCATGATGACAAAACATAATGTGATATCATGTAATTACCAAGCAGAGGGAATGATGATAATGATCCTAGTGGCATGTTTTAATTCACTCTTCTCCCCTTTCAAGTCTAAGCAAATCAATTTGTCAGAGATCAATATAATGTCAGAATGTACAGAAGTGTTTGACAGGTGTAATTTTCAATTTACTAACACAGGATCAACTACATTCAATATAATGTCCTACCTTACTTAATTGTCACGTGGAATTACCTCCAACATCCCTTATCAGCAAACTTCGTAAAGAATGATGAATAATTCCCAGTATGTATTTGAAATAATAATTTGCCAACTTCCACTTTCACACCACTGACATTTAAATTCTTAGTAAATGAAAAAGTTGTTTGAATTTTGAACAAATTTTACCCCTGTGACCTCAAAATTAGGTCAACAGCATTCTTTTGTTAAACATTAAATAAGCCAACAGAGGCCTAGAATTGAAGAGCTCCAATATTACATAAAATGACAATTGCATGAACCCCCTTGTTAGTTGTTTTACCATATCTGGGAAGATGTTTTATATGTACAAAGTTGTAGTAAGAAAAGACAAAATCTGTCAATGAAATCTATACTCATATTATCATGGTCATAATCCGTGTTATTATTTTATGGGAAATGGATTTACAGCAACCAAAATCATTTGCTGGTGAGGTTAGTAATGCCAATCTATATTTTTTACGATACAGCTCACAAACAGACTACTCCGAAATACATAAAAGTCCATAGTTCGAAGGGTTCTGACTATCTATCAGCGAATTTACTTTTCGTCTTGTTCGCTGTCAATACTAGACAATAGTCTTTCCCTATAAAAAAAAGGGGGGGGGGGGGGAGACGGAAAACCTGTCAACCAACCAAGCGACGTCGGCAAGATACTGATAAGAACTTTTAAGACTAAACGGCCCCGATCACAAGATCATATACATACTACACCACAATATGTACGTATACATATGTCTATAATGTACATTGACCCAGGTTGTTCTATATATGAAATGTATCATACTACTTAAATAGCAGGGATGACAGTTACGATATAACGAAAATAGGGATTCAGTCTGCCACTGTCACGTGCCATTCCAACAAATACTAACCGTCGGCAGAGGAACTCTGCTTTGACACAAGTGGTTGCGTATGGTATTTAGACGCTCAGCCATCTCGACGAAGTTGTTTGGGACAGACTTCTGGACTTCGTCCTCCCAGCTTTTATAAACACAACGACATATGTACCTCCAATTGAGAAGAGCAAATCAGCGGAAAAGGATTATTTCCCTTTGTAACACAAGCGACATGATAGGTTATAAATTTTGAGCATTGCAGCCGACGGGATTCTGTTTTAAGTCTGTAGTTGCAGTAATGGACCTGTTGTAATCAATGAAATATAACTGGCTGTTACATGTACATCAGCAAAAAAAGAAGAGCAAAATGACTATTTTCATTTTTTTTTTAAATTTGATTGCAAATTTATAAGTTAACTTTTTACACGTCATTGAACACCTAACAATGTAAAAGAAGGTACAGAAGAGGGTAGTCAGAGTTGAAGAGAATGATTTTACTAGTCGTTTACATATTCTTTTAGAAAGAAATAATTGTTCAGCCCACCTCTTTGCTATACTATTCCACAGTTCAAGACCAGCAGGTGTGGTAAAAATCATTTGATGATCGATTTGAGGCGACCCAGGCATGGATCAAGACCTTACTGTTTACATTCTTTATTTTTAGATATCAATAAAATGATTGCAGTGACTTTTAATTTTAGTAATGAACAGAATGTCTTAGTTTTGTAACATACTATTGGAAAATAGAACGTTTTATATCGTTTTCTCGTAGTGTTTTTTTAACATTATAGTCGCTTTAATGGGTATTAGAAAGACTGAATACTTTTCCTGTCTGACGGAGATTGTTACACACGTACTCCCGGGACGTGTATTATAGCAGTTGAATGCATGAACCACTATCACTAACTGACCTCGACTTTGCTGTTATAATATATTTCTGTTTATTTGTTTATGTATTTATTTGTTTACTTTTTCATAAAATGCCAGCCTATGGTTATTCCTTTATTATTTTCACTGCTACTGATTTTCCGTTGTTTGTAAAAGTTATATTATAGCCATTTCAAAAATACTCTTTGGAATTGTTCGTGCTATTTTAGCATGAACCCTGGCGATTCTTAGCTCATCTGGTCTAAACGACCGGCTAGCTTATGCCATTGCGCGGCGTCTGTCGTTCGTCGTCTGACAACTTTTTAGCTACCAGTCATATTAAAACGACGGAACAGATTTCGACCCATTTTGGTCAGAAGCATCCTTGGGGGAATTGGAGCCAAGTTTTTTTTATAGATATTCTGAAGAATTTTTGGGTGAAGGGAAATCAGTCTTAAGTCAGACGTTAGGTCTCGGCCTCGAGGGGCGGGACCCAATAGCATAAACAGACTAAATTCTTTAAAATCCTTCTCCTGAAGAAATAATTTGATATTGTCCAAATTTGGTCAGAAGTTTACTTGGGTGAAGGGAAATCAGTTCTGTATAAACGATAAATTCAAGTCCCTGACTTGGGAGGGACGGAACTCAATCGGGTAAATAGAGTGAATTCTTTGACATCCTACGCCTTGAATAGAAATGATTGGATTTTGCCCTAATTTGGTCAGAAGCACTCTTGGGTTAAGGAAAGTCAACTTGATTAAACGGTGGGTCTGGACAACCTGGGGGAGAGGGAAGGGCGGCTCAGTATACGGTGAAACAAAACAAATGATTCCAAATCCTTCTTTTTATCTATAGGAATGACAGGACTCTGTCTCGGTTTGGTCAGAAGCATAAAAGGTTTGGCTGACCCTCCTAGGTACGGATGAATGGTTAGGGTCCATTGAGGAAATAGTTGTGTGTTGTGTGCTTGCATATTTATGACTCCTTTTCCTGTAGTTTTGATGAAGCATTTTCAGGCAAGCAAAGCCAGGTGAGTGATACAGGTCCTATGAGCCTAATATAGTTAAAGTGCTGTTCTTCTGATGACATTGAGCTATATATTGGCGGGAATGTTAAAGAAAGGAAGTCGTTAGTGTATTGCTATTTTTAGGCCTTGTCAAAAATGCATGCGACATGACAGCTACACACATTTTAAATTTCTCAAGTTCCACCAATGGGTTTCGTCTGAACCTGGCATGAATTCAGTTTTATGGGAATGTTGAAAAATTGAAAAGTGATGTTCTTGTTATTGTTACCTTTACTGTTAAAACATTCAGAATTATGTGAATCATTTACTGATTGATCACACTACTACCGCTGTTATATATGTCTTTATATACTCTGATGAAGGTTAAGGCCCATGACCTAAGGGTACTTTCGACCATTTCAAGCCCCAACATAAGTAAGATGAAGCAGACGAATGACGCAGACAACATCATGAGCTATACTCCATACTGAATCCATACTTCCACACTGCTGGGTGACCGGAAATGTCGTTTGGTTGACACGATGTATACCATGGCTATTTCCTCGTATAACACATAAACATGTGTCTGAATGTTAATAAAATCTTCAATATTGCAAGCTTACGCATAGGGAAAACCGCTTCAGAAAAAGACACACAAGACGAAGTACAGTTTACGTAGATTTTGCCATCAGTCCGTCACGGATGTAGTTTAAGCACGCATGCGCGCCTAAAGTCTATGCGATATCACGATCCGTGACGGCCTTTCATTTTCATTAAAAATATCCGTCATAAATATCTTTTATAAATTACCAAAATTTGTGTCTTATTCACAACGGATACAATGTGTTTGGCATATATCGTATTCTGATATTTGTCAAAGCCACTTCAGATTTTCCTAAATTCCCATCTCTAAATCCATGGTTGGGTTCTGACATTGCTGAAGGGTCATCGGTATGGTGTTTGTTTTTAATGCATTAATATATATCCAAAGCATTGGTTATACCAGTCCTGATGCCGTGTTTCCTCGCTGCTCCTACTGATCTCTGCTGTTATACGCATGGTGCTCTCCTTTTCACTTTGTTCTTTTCTACTTACTCTTATATCGCGTGGATAGTAAGATGTCGACAGTTCTTCCGGTTGTACATTATTTACCTTGTTAGGGATAGTCTAAAAATAGCTATGCTTTGTCGGAATAATGACACAGATTACAACTTTTTCTCGTCCAACTTGTTTATCTGTACATTTAAACAGCTTGCTGCACACGGTGTTTTTTCCCCACCAACTGACAGACTTACCTTTACTGTTAATACGTCGACAGATACTCATCTTAGAACCAATTAAATTACTTGTATGACCATCGGATATACATTTTCATGTGGATACATATCATGTAATATTTCTGAGATGTTGCCATAACAAAAACTGCAAAAAAAGAAAAAGAAAAGAAAGAAAAACGAAGAAAAACAAAAAAACAAATACACCATCCCGATATTTATCTTCAGTGAAGTAAAATACACATATAATGGACGAACATTATTGTCTGTGTACCATCGTGTACAAGTATGTATTGTGTCGGTTCATTTCCTTTGCTCGTGAAGTAACGTTTTGGTATAGTATTCTTTGACGTTACTTCCGAATACGTAATGTTCAGACATATTTGGGGAATATTTGCTGGCCGGCGGTCTTCTACCATATTCCTCAGCAACCTCCCGCATGTAATGCGGACTATTTCCGCAACATAATCCGACGTACTGTATCCCTGTTTTCAGACAGTCCCGTGCGAACTCGCGAACTTCTGTCCGTGAACAGGCGAAGGCTGGAAGGTCTATCGGGAAGGCATATTTACCTGTAAATAAAAAGCATGTACTAACATTTCTCTTACTTACAAGTAATGGGAATATATTACACTTCACACGCTGAAAATACGTATAGAAATGTTAACGTTACCTGTTTCCGGAACACTAAGAGACTGCATGATCGGCTGGGTGGGCGTGGTTCTATACAACACTGGCAAAGCTGCTATTGGTCCCTTAAAGCAAAAATTTCCACTTTGATAACATATTTCGTGGTTTATTAAGTTATATATTCAGGATGTAAAATGGCGGTAACAATGAGCAACACTGAAGTAGGAGACACATTGTCAAATTAATTTCTCAACAGATGTTGTATCTGCACTATTAGTTCGAACAATTCTGATCATGACTAGTCCGAATTATTCAGACGTTCTATTGACTTTTTGTATTGACCAGGAGTCGATAACTTGCACGAGAGTTACAACAATGAATTGCTGTTGACTAGGTATTTCAACTCACTTTTCCCTGCATCTTGTTCCAAGCAATTTCTGCAATGACCGCCAATACATGTACAGAATTCCCTCAGTCTTGTCCTTATAAACCAACCAGAAGTAAACTCTCGCTAAGATTGATGGCGATGGAAGGTTTACAGGGACGAGTCTACGGTTGCAATAGTTCCTAAATTGCCGGAAAGTGACTTTGTTAAGGAAAATGAATGATTCTTGGAAAACACGTACTTTACATTGTTGTCGTATTTCCGCCATGAAAGGCATCATGGTAGCAGGACCACGTGTGCAGTTGAGACCCACTACATCAGCCCCTGCCTCTTCCAGCTGGCGGCTTGCTTCAACGTGAGTTAGACCATCAGAGGACATCCCGCTTATCGAGCTTCCCATTGTAATAACAGCAGGTACTAAATAAACACCATTTGTTAGACAAAATAAAAAATATATATAATGACAGAAAGTTGAGCAATATTCGTAAATATTGATATACCCGACATTATAACATATATTTATTGTAAATTATCTTGAAGTTTATAGACCATGTGTTTAACTTCTTAGTACCCTTTCCATATGTTTTGATGCATTCGAGCGCTAGCAAAGCTTCCCTTGTGTCGTGGAACGTTTCCGCCACAATGTAGTCGGCTCCTCCAGATATGGCCCATTCGATCTGTTCCTAGAAGCACATTAAGAAAGCTAGTTTGATCATTCCTGTGAAGTAATTATCTGTGTTGTTAAACTATATCATGTAAAACTAGCGCCAAGAACAACACGAGAACACCAACATGTCAACTAATTCATACCTCAAACTCAAAATAAAGAATTCTATGCAATAATTTGAAGAAAAGCTTAAGAGTAAGTATCTTCTGCTAAATCGAAGGCTCCTGAAATGTTACTTTTCGGGAGTCTAAGTAAGTAACGTCGTGTTCTCAAATAAGATCAAATAAGTTTACACTAAGGAAACCACCAAGTGTTTTGTCTAACAGAAGACTTCCCAAGGAGATCATAATGGCGAACATCATTCTTTTCAAGATATAAAAAAATGTTTGATTTATTAGAATACACCAGGACGGATGAAGGGATGTAACTAAAGACAAAAACTCATTTTATGTTTCGTTCTCTATTGATGATAGGTTTACACCAAGTCAAATAAACATCGATTGAAGCACTTTTACCTTGAACATGTCGCGTGTTTCTTCTATGGCCGCTGGATTGTTATCTTCGTATACACAAGAATTACAGATGTTTCCTGCCATCAGCGTTCCCGTGTCGTCTGCCACTTTTCGTGCAATTTCGAGAGCAGTAGTGTTCAACTTTTTTAAGTCTCCTTCACGTCCTATTTTCCTAAGCTTTTCACGGTGTCCATAATACTATGGAATTATACAATATGAAATAAATGAAAAAGGGGAGATAACCAATTTGAAGATTGTAGACATCATAAATACCCTATTAGCTAATTGATGACCAATTCATGAAGCTGAAGCAAATAATACGGCGAATCTATTAATTCTTACGTAATCAATTTAGAAAAAAAAAAACTTTTACCGTAAAAGCTAGCACGACGTCACTTCCGGCGTGAACAAACTCTTCGTGTAATTCTTTAACCTTTTCCGGATATTCTAGGACCACTTCTGGTACAAAGCTTCCGGCTCTGAGATAACCTCTTCTCTCAAATTCAAAAATGTATCCCTCCGCTACGATTACATTTTCACCCGACTGCAGTCTCTCTAACAAACCTTAATGATAAACAGAATCTGACATTTCTCACCCATTTAATAAATTGTACATTGTATGGAAATTGTAACATCGTCAATGTTACAGAGATTCAAACATCTAACCCCGTAACTATTTATTTCGAGGTATTAGACCGTATCAATCACGGAGATCTGAACATCAACGAACCATATTGGCATCAACGAAAGAAAAGTGGGACGAACGTTTGAACAATAAGTGGCTTAAGCCTGTCATCTGAGTAAATTTAATATCCTGATTTATTTCGAGGTATTAGACCGTATCGGTCACGGAGATCTGAACATCAACGAACCATATTGGCATCAATGAAAGAAAAGTGGGACGAACGTTTGAACAATAAATGGCTTAAGCCTGTCATCTGAGTAAATTTAGTATCCTGATTGTATTGGTATGTTTTTAATAAGAAAAAAGTAAGAATTCACAGCTGCGTGTATACAGTGTTGATGTGTGGTGTATTACATACAGCAGATAACGGAAGTGAATGTGACTACACTGCGCATTGGTGTAGTCTTTGTTGATTTCTTCAACATGTATCAAAAGTACTCGAATACAGAAACAGAAATTCTTGTATATCCATCGGATTTAAACTAATGGTAAACGATAGAAGGAGATGTGTATATGTTTAGCAATTTTGTAGGTGAGACTGAAAATGATGACAATGTTTTAAACCCAACAAAACACCTTACATTTTGACGTGATTTTCAGCGGGTACAGCAAACGTATGTGTGTGCACATTAAATGCGCCGGAGACGGAGATAATTATAAATTTTGTCACGTATTAAATGTTTGTTTTCGAGACTGAATACACTCAATTCTCGAGTGGCTAAGTGTTGGATGTATACAGATAATGTAGATTTTAAAATGAAAACAGATTCCTCTAATAATCTTTATCTTAAAGGTCTGTTCAGGTGTCGTCAGCCATGTCTTTTTATACGGCGCTGAAATTCATAAGATAAGTATATAGAATAAATAATTCATCAAATGCATTACCTTTCGTTGCCATGTTCTGGTCGCAAATGAAACCTAAAGGCGTCCGATATCTGTAGACAGAACGTGTCTATGTCAAGGTAAGGAAATGTCCCGTTTTACGAACTCAAACCTTATCTGTGTATTAAGTATTGTATTTATATAAACGAGTATCGAAAGAAATTTTAGTGAGAAAATATTTTTTGATGAACTAATCTATGGCCATGGTGCTCTCCTTTTCACTTACTCTTTTATCGCGTGGATAGTAAGATGTCGATAGTTCTTCCGGTTGTATATTATTTACCTTGTTAGGGATAGTCTGAAAATAGTTATGCTTTGTCGGAATAATGACACAGATTACAACTTTTTCTCGTCCAACTTGTTTACCTGGCCCCACTTGTATAAAACATCTCAACTTGAGATTTCCTCTAGTCGAGATTTTCCTCTGCTGATATCTCCTCAAAAACGGCTTGTATAAAATTTTCTCAAGGAACAGGAGGAAGTCCTCGGCTAGGATGTACTGAAATTCCTTGAGGAATTTTCATACAAGATATTTTCAAGGAGATATTAGCTGAGGAAAATCTTGACTTGAGGAAATCTCAAGTTGATAATATGATTTATACAAGTGGGGCCTGTATGTTTAAAACAGCTTGCTGCTCGCGGTGTTTTTTCCCCATCTCGTGTTAAAACAGCAAATTAAAGGACTTGTATAACTATCGGATATACGTTTTCATTTCGATTCATATAATTAAAACAGTATTTAGTTCTTTCTGAAATGTTGTCATAACAAAAACTGCGAAAAAAAAGAAAAACAAACAAAAAACCAAAAATCTGTGTTGTATTTATTGTCTTTATATAAACGAGTATCTATGGTCAGTTAGTGTTAGGTCCGTGTTTATCTACATTCTGTGTTATCTCAGTCTGAGTATCATTGTAGTTATTGTCTTTATATAAACGAGTATCTATGGTCAGTTAGTGTTAGGTCCGTGTTTATCTAACAAATTAAAGGATTGTCTTTATATAAACTATCGGTCAGTATACGTGTTTCATTTGTGTTATCGATTCATATAATATAAAACAGTATTTAGTTGTTTATCTACATTCTGTGTTATGTTGTCATAACAAAAACTTTATATAAACGTATCTATGGTCAGTTAGTGTTAGGTCCGTGTTTATCTACATTCTGTGTTATCTCAGTCTGAGTATCATTGTAGTTATTGTCTTTATATAAACGAGTATCTATGGTCAGTTAGTGTTAGGTCCGTGTTTATCTACATTCTGTATTATCTCAGTCTGAGTATCATCATCAGCATTATCTTACATTTACTTTTAGATCGTTACAATTTTCTTACGCATGCTACTGCGGGTCACGGAAAAGGTTTACATTGCAACTGGATTGTTTTCCAAAGAAATGAAGTCATATGAAAGGATTGTACAAAAGATATCAACATACTTTAAATCACAAACTCCGAATCAAATACAGTAAATTAAAGTAATGGTGAATTCAACGGCATCTTACTTAAAACCCTTTGATATATCGAAATAATTATGATTTTATCTTCTTGATTAGAAGAGTTTCAGTTTATTTGTAAAGCTAATCATTTTACATTATTTCCTTACTCGTTATAACAGTTAGATGACGATGACTGATTTTAAGTATCATTACGTTTAATAAGCCTCTGTTTCCATTATTCAATTTTTAAATCAATTCGAGTTTACGTAACATCACACTTTGAAGACTCTGTGAAAATTCATATGATAAAAGATCTCGTTTGTTTGAATTACAATATACCTATTTGTATGTAATCCAGGTTTATCTATGCAGTCTTTTTCAGACGGCGGAGATACCACGTTGCTAAGTTTATAATCACTAATTTATTAGGTGTCTTTTCCACTATTCCAAATCGCTTTTATGTTTGATATGGAGATTAGTAGGAAAACAAAATCTCCGTTACTGTGAAATAATTGATGATACTTGATAAAAACAATGAAACTGTGAAATACTGACTGATACTTGATAACAAGTATGAAACTGTGAAATCCTGACTGGTACTTGGTAAAAACTATGAAACTGTGAAATCCTGACTGGTACTTGATAAAAGTATGAAACTGTGAAATCCTGACTGGTACTTGATAACAACTATGAAACTGTGAAATCCTGACTGGTACTTGATAACAACTATGAAACTGTGAAATCCTGACTGGTACTTGATAACAACTATGAAACTGTGAAATCCTGACTGGTACTTGATAACAACTATGAAACTGTGATGAAACTGTGAAATTCTGAAATAAAAACTATGAAACTGTGAAATCCTGGTACTTGATAAAAACTATGAAATAAAAGTATGAAACTGTGAAATCCTGACTGGTACTTGATAAAACTATGAAACTGTGAAATCCTGACTGGTACTTGATAACAACTATGAAACTGTGAAATCCTGACTGGTACTTGATAAAAACTGTGAAGGGGTTGTTTTGTTAACGAATTCAAACCTCATCTGTGTTGTAGGTATTGTTATTATATGATAAAAAAAACTTCATTTAATGTGCTTATCGTGTCACCATACACTGTACAAAAGTTTAATCACCAAGTGACAGATTTGATTTAGGTTATGATATAAATCGATAAAGTGAACACTGAAGACGTTTCTTTTATATCTTTATTGCCTTGTTTCCTTCAAATACAATAAATTGGCTGTTCTTTAATGACTTCGGTACACCAAACCTGCGTGTTTATAATCAATACATTGAATGCAGTGGTGTCCAAAAACTTCTATACAAAAAGACGATAAATACTATCCAAACGTAAATAGCGTCTTTTAGTACGAATTTAAACTTAGATCCTGTAAATAAATAATAAATCAAGTTGCATCATGCAGCTGTTTCATCCTTCTTGGACCAAGGACATCAATTTTGATACTTTGAGGTGGCTTAGAAAAACAAAAACTGTAAGTAATGACCAAATCTACATAGGACGATGCACAAGTCGTGTGATTCACTAAATTTAGTAGTTTATATATATATATATATCCGATAATTTAAAAAAAAACATCAAGTACCTGTTCATGCTCTAACCCGTGCCACTATCGCGATGTAAACATAAAATCTATGTCATCAGGGCAAAATATAAGGAAAGTTAATGTTTATATGGAAACCTTTGAAACGATGCCAAGAAAGAATGATAATGATGTTCTGGAAGGATGAGCGTCTTCTACTTATTCGACGTTCCAAGATGTGAATCCAATAATGTGATGTCATGGTCTCAAAATAGGACCACGTCTACAACAACGATGTCACCTAGCATACTAACGAACATCAACTGCCTCTTAATAATGACCAAGGAAATAGCATATCTCCCGATTAGATCTAAGTAGCCACCATATTTTAACTTTTCTTTAATCTTCACCAACATATAATTAAGCCAAAAACAGTCACGTTTAGTGTTAGATGTCGCTGTAGTAATATTGACACAAAAATGGGGCCAGATAATCACTTTAGCTATGATATTAAGAGCCTAAATTGTTAAAATCTGTGAGGCAACCGTGGAAAATTACTTTTGTGAATGATATCTTAACACATATGGGCAAAATAAACCTTGAACACACATTAAATATAAGTAAAATACACATATAATGAACGAACATTTTTATCTGTGTACCACCGTGTACAAGTATGTATTGTGTCGCTTCATTTCCTTTGCTCGTAAAGTAATGTTTTGGTATGGTATTCTTTGACGTTACTTCCGAATACGTAATGTTCAGACATATTTGGGGAGTATTTGCTGGCCGGCGGTCTTCTTCCATATTCCTCAGCAATCTCCCGCATGTAATGCGGACTATTTCCGCAACATAATCCGACGTACTGTATCCCTGTTTTCAGACAGTCCCGTGCGAACTCACGAACTTCTGTCCGTGAACAGGCGAATGCCGGAAGGTCTATCGGGAAGGCATATTGACCTGTGAAACATTTAAAGTCAGTGGTCACTGATCCGTGACTTGTGTGATATTCATCGGTGTATTTCTCTACTCTCTTTGTTTAACGGTTGGTGATTTACTGTGCTTTTATATCAAACGAATTAAATGTCTAAGCAAATTGCTAACTCATCTGTTAGATAATAGAATTGATCACTTAAAATAGTAATAGGACGTTACTATGATACCTGTCTCCGGAACTGTGAGTGACTGCATGGTAGGGTGGATGGGCGTGGTTCTGTATACGACCGGCAAAGCGGCTATCGGACCCTTCAAACAAACGATTTAAATTTAAGGATGAAATTAGTTATATATTAACAACAAAAGACATGTAAATTATATATCACCCTGTCATTCTTCACATGACATTCCAGTTTAAGAATAGTTTCTGTTGCCATGGGCTTGACATCATTTGTTCAAACAATGATTGCGTCAAAAATTATTGCGATTTTGATTACCTACTTTACACTGTTGTCGTATCTCCCTCATGAGTGGCATCATTGTGGCACAGCCACGCGTACAGTTGAGTCCGACCACGTCTGCCCCTGCCTCCTCCAGTTGGCGGCATGCCTCCGCATGGGTCAAGCCTTCTGATGTCAGACCCTTAATCGAGCTTGCCATGGTGATAACAGCAGGTACTAAGAAAAAAATTCTTTATCATAGACGTTGTTTACATGATAACTTTGAATTTGACTATGATACATCTTTTAATGAACAATATGTGTATTACCTCCTCCTGAGGCACTGGTTTGTTTACAAATAAATACATTTGTATTTTTTTTTTTTATTACAGAACTAAATGCATACGTAGATAAAGCGTACGTTACATGTTTCTATCAAGATTGTGCAAAAGGCACACAAGTGAATATCACCATTTAATACAGATTTAGAGTTAAATACAGTAGAGCCAAACAATGAATTAACTTCATCATACATCAGGTTCGCCCCTCTAGGACTCGTCAGTAATTCTTAGAATTTAATATATATTTTTATCGAGAATATATTCATGTACCCTTTCCATATTCTTTTATGCATTCAAGTGCTAACATGGCTTCGCCCAAAGCGTTGAATGTTTCAGCCACGATATAGTCAGCTCCAGCCGATACTGCCCATTCTATCTGTTCCTACAAAAACACCATATATCTGTGTATTAAAACTTTTATGAAACAGTCAATTGGTCCCCGCTTTATTCAATAAGTCACATCACGAATCTTGTACAAACAAGATGAACTACCTCCCTCCGGTAGTGTTGGTTGGAAAATGCATTATGATCAAAATTTCTAATGAGCGTTAATGTTGATACCAAAATAAAAGTTAATACATTCAGGTGTTAGTATATATATTTTCAGACTCGTTTGAGCTACACTCACTCTACAGTAATTTAAATATTGATGGCATTATGAAAGGGATGTGATACGCTTCAATATTGGATTCAAATTGGAAATATCAAAATGAAAATGTACGAAATGTATTTAGATTTTCATGTTTTAATTCAAGGATGAATCATTGTTTTTCCAGTCGATTTTATACTTATCGTTTATCATGTCTATTTTGCCTTGATATCCTCCCGATATTTGAACAAACACCATGTTTCTTTTCTTCCAAGAAGATATATGGATTGCTGTATTCGATATAATAAGGTGATGGTTAAACCTTGAACATGTCTCGTGCTGCTTCTATCGCTGTAGGATTGTCGGCTTCGTACATACACGTGTTGCAGATGTTTCCCGCCATCAGTGTTCCTGTATTGTCTGCCACCTGGCGTGCAATTTTCAGAGCAGTAACGTTCAACTTCTCCAAATCACTCTCACGTCCAACATGTCTAAGCTTTTCACGGTGTCCATAATACTATATAAGAATATATCAGTATACCGTTAAATATCTTACTGTCATATTGGAATGTGTTCCGGTATTTCAGTCTCTTACAATAAAATCTACCCTATGGTTATATGGAAACGTTCTCGATATATCACAGGATTTTCCTACTTACATAATATATGTAATATATAACATATCTAATATGTTTATCAATAGAACTGAGTGAATGCCTTTGTCTGAGAACAAAACCTTGTTTTTCATTAGTTACAGTAAGATATATTCCAAATTGACATTTTATAATATCTAGACTAGACAATCATCCAAAATAATAGCCGAAAATGTAATGTTTTCATAGTTCTTATGATTAAAGTCATATATATATACAAATTAAGATGATAGTGTGTCATTCTAGTTACCGTAAATGCTAGGACAACGTCACTTCCGGCATGGACAAATTCCTCATGTAGGTCTTTGACCTTGTCCGGATATTCCAGGACAACTTCAGGAACATAACTTCCAGCTCTGAGGTAGCCCCTTCTCTCGAATTCGAACAGATATCCCTCCGCTACGATCACGTTTTCCCCTGACCTCAGCCTCTCTAGAAAGCCTGAATAATCAACAGATTAGCAATTTCTGATTTCACGAAAAACAAGTATTAGGTTAAAGGAGACGAAGAACTTGGAAAATTGTACGATCATTTTAAATGCAGTTCAAGGAGGAATGGGCCAAGCATATGTCTCCATCAATATGTTGGTATTATTATTTATTTATTTACTTTTTATTTATCAAATACGATAGGTCTAAAGTAAACAGACTGGTTGAAATTAGAGTTCTCATCAGACAAACGCAATTGAACGTTATTGCGTCTGGAGCCTTTTTCTTATGATTATTATGATAAATTAACATTATGTGTTGTTTAATGACTTATGTGCGAAATGAAATAGAAGCATTGAGATAAAATAGAACAAAATCACAAACATTTTTAAAAGTTAAATTGTATTGAAGTTATTTATTATAGACTTTTAAAATGTTAAGAGTCTGTTATATGACATTGAAAGAATACTGTTTAATTGGTGACCGGTGGTCTTTATGTGTAAGAATTAAGTATGTGTCAATGCTCTTCATTCTCCATTTTCAAGCTATTTCAAACTTAGTCTTCCTCTTCCAAAATCATTACGGAAATCGAAATATTCGAAAAATTCAGACATGTAAACGAGATATTTGTTCCGTGGGAGATCATTTGATGATACAACTATTTATACATTTCATTTCAGTAATAATTACCATAACTTTAGTATGCAAATATGGTACCTATACCCATCTTTGTATCCCAAAAACAAAAGATTAAAAAATCCCGCCCTCCCTACGACCATGAGCCTTCACGTCATGAACATAGAGTTATCTCCCATCCTCTTATCTTTATGGCTACCGGAGCGGGCGGACGTGCTATAATCCAGTTGAGTGCCTTCCTTTTCCTTATAGCTTAAGTCTCGTTTATAGCCAAGTATTTATATATCGGCTTTTGCTTAAACCCATCTATAACTTTAACAGTCTTTTGCAGACTTTTATTTGTTAATATATCCTGCTTTTAGGCCTTTATTCGGCCGGCTTTCTTCGGCCTTTGTTCGGCCATTGTTATACTCCACGTACCGAGCGCGTGTCCACGTGTTTTGCGGCGTTCGGTTTTTCATGAAGTTTTTTCGCCATTTTTCGGTCGTGTTATTTATTCGACCGTACTTTTTGTTTTACGTTTCGTTAGCTTTTGCTTTCGTTCGTATTTTTAGTTGGAGTTGTATTTTTTCACTCCATTTAGTTTTTGTTACGCTTATTTGTGTTAATAACTGTTGTTATTTGCTTATCGTAACAATTATGGCTAGTTCAGGGCTGCGTCGTGGTTCGGTACATGGGTGTTCTCATTTCTTTGGAGAGCAGGACCCCCATGATGCCTGTCCCTTATGCCGGCCTTGCAGCGAGACCGCGCCGCGCGAATTTTGTTTGCACGCCGGGTCCGCTGTAAAGGTTCCCCTGTCCAGTCGTTGAACTTCTCGCCGGAAGAGGGATTCGTCCTCATCTTCCGGTAAGACAGGTAAGCCATTCAGGTCATCTACCCCCGGCCCTGAGCCGATGGGTGAGGTTGACACTGCTGGGGGTGTTCTCGCTCTGAGCTCCGCCCTCGAGCAGGGGATGGCTCGCCTGTCCAGGCGCGTCCTGGTGTAGGGGGGGGGGAGCAGCCCGACCCTGACTCGGTGAAGTCTCGGGTCGAATCGGCCGGTAGCTCCCGACAGCTGGCGGTGCTGCCGTCTGAAAGGGACTTCCGGTCACAAGTCTCTGATTTTTTCAGGGACCTCGGTACGCCAGGTGGCGTCGTTGGTTGGGGCCGTCTTGACACCGGACCGGTACCTTCGGGTATGGGGTCGGGGCCACTGACTTTTTGTCAGGGTTGTCAGTGGCTACGGGGATTAGTGACACAGAGTTCACTAATCCTAGTGTCAGTGCATTGGCCTGGGTTCCTACCCTCACAGGTCTCTGGATCTGGGGCTTTTCGCTCAAGTCCAGATTTTCCGGTGCAGGGTTTCCCAGGGGGCTTCCTTCAGTGATTTGGGGCCCCGGGTCAGGCTTCCGGTTTCCGGTCGCCTTTTCCCCCGGGCTCGGGGTGTAGGGGTGCCTGCGGGCACTCAATCCCGGGCCGCCCAGGCCAACCTGCGGATGGTCATGGGTACCAGCAGTTACCCAGCGGTTACGGGATCAGCCCGTACATGGCTGGGTTTCCACCTGGTGGGAGTGGAGGTTCAACCTGGTCCTTTGGACAGGGTGTCCAGCCCCAGGCTCAGGCAGGCCAGTTTGGTCAGTTCTGGGGTCACTTCCAGCCCGCGGGACTGTTCCCATTCCCTCGGGGGTTTGGGTTCAACCCCATGGGTCTTCGTGGAACCCTTGGGGTACGGTCTTTCCCTTTAGCAGACGTTTTAGCAGTTCTGAATCCCCCCCAACGTTCTGCTACTTCGGGGACCGTTTCGGCCGGTCCTAAAAAGGTTCGCCGGACCTTTAGGACTTCCGCCTCCCGCGCGGACCTGTCGGTTTCCTGTCCTCAGGGGTTGGCTTCCAAGCCTACAGCTACGGCTGTTAGACGTTCTACGTCTAAACGCCGTATAGAGGAGTCCCCCTCTCCGGAGAGGGCTCCTCTAGCGGCCCCTGTTCCTCTTAGGGCGACTTCGGTCGCTAGCGAGGAGATGGACGCTAAGGGCGTGGGCTTGGCAGAGGATGACGATGTTATCCATCTGTCTCCTGGGTGCTCGGCGATTGATCCGTCCGAGTCATCTGAAGATGACCCTTCCGACCAGGAGGGTTACCAAGGGGTAGGGGGCTCCGAGATTGCTGAAACCAAGGCTCAGCATGTTCTTTCGGGGATGCGGGCCCTACGGGCCGACATCTCCCGGATTCTCGGGGTGGAGGTATGCCCACCGCCTTCTGCATCGTCGGTGCCTGAATCCACCACCCTTCTAGGTTATTTGGTGGCTCCTCGGGCTTCCGTTCGAACTGATCGGACTCTGCCAGAAGGCACTATTGTGTCTTCGACTCTGGCCACCGCCCGGGCACGGGTCTTAGAGAAGAATTCTTCCTCTACCCGCACCACAGGGTTTGCCGGTCTGCAGCTCGGTATTGGTGATTTGTCAGAGGCTTCTACCGCTGACTACGCCACACATGACGGGCAACTGGCCCCTCAACCAGCATAGCTGGAGTCGAGAGAGCTGGCTGCCTGGCCCGGCAAATCGGTGGACCAGGTGGTGCTCGAGGCTAGAGAGCACCACAGGATGGAGAGGATGTTGCGCCTTTCCATCCAAGTTCTGTCGTATATAGACTTCCTGACAGTGAATCTATACAAGGTATCTGACTTGCCTGAGGGTCGGGTACCAGAGACGGAACAGGCCGACATTCAGGACAGACTCACAGCTGCCCTAAACGCGGCGTTGAGGGCATCGGCGGCCTTACTGGTCTCTCTGCTCGCCAACGTCGTGTTGGCTAGGCGATTTTCAGTCATGAAGAATCGCCCAGTCGAGGAACCTTATCTTTCCCGCCTGTTGACTGCTCCCTTCTCTGGCTCTACCCTGTTCGGGGGAGCTCTCCCTTCTGTTCAGAAGGATATGAAGGAGGACTCGGTCGCCTCAGCACTTTTGGTGAAGAGGTTTCGTTCCGAGAAGGCCAGCGCCTCGCAGGGGTCAGCGCCTCCCAAGAAGAAGGCTAAACTGGGCAGCCTTCTGCTCAACCCAAATCACAGCCTCGCTTCAAGGGCAATAAGGGGAAAGGTAAGAAGGGTAAGAAACCTCCTGGGGACAAGAAGAAGGGCTCCTGACTCTTTCTTCTCCTTGGCCGAGACAGAACAAGGGTCTGGCGGGGTGGACGGCGGTCCTCCCGTTCAGGTCTCTTGTCCTCCCGCAGGCTCTGGCTCCGGATGGGCGGACGATTCGCTGGTTTGGCAGGGACTCGATCTGCTCCATCCGGAACTTCCTGTGTGCGGGCGTCTCTCCGCTTTCCTGCCCCAGTGGCAGGAAATTACGGAGAACACGTGGGCGTTGTCGGTGGTCAAGGAGGGTCTAGGTATCCCCCTTCTTCGGGACCTGCCTCTTACCGCCCAGCCGATCTTCTTTCCTCCTCCGGGGGATTTGGAGAAGGCTCGGGCGATCCAGGAGGAAGTAAGGACCTTGCTTGCAAAGGGCGCGGTAGAGGAGATTCCTATGTCGGAAATCACTCCCGGTTTCTATTCCCGAATGTTTCTCGTTCGGAAGAAGTCCGGGGCGTTGTGTCCGATCATAGATCTCAGTGCCTTCAACAGGCACGTAGATTCTCCTCACTTCAAGATGGAGACCCCACGGGGCATCATGGCCTCCGTGAGGGACGGGATGTGGGCAACTTCGGTAGATCTGAAGGATGCCTATTTCCATATCCCCATCAAGAAGTCGGCACGAAAGTTCCTCCGTTTCACGTGCAACGGCAATGTCTTCCAATTCCAGGCCATGCCCTTCGGGCTGACGACAGCTCCTTTGGTATTCACCAAGCTGCTGCAGGTAGTCGTGGGATTCCTTCACTCCACATCTATTTCGACGACTCCCTCATGCTTCACAGGGTGAGGGAATCGCTAGTGAAGGATACCCGGCTGGTCATGGAAGTCTTGCTCAGAGTCGGCTTCATTCCTTCCAGAGAGAAGTCAGAGGTTTCCCCATCTCAGGACTTCGTCTTCCTGGGGAACCGTTTCGATACGGTTCTGGGCATAGCCCTACCCCCGGTGGAGAAGTTCGAGAAGGCCAGGGCTCTAGCTCTGTCCTTCATCGAACGGTTGCAGGTCCAGGTGCATTGGTTACTCAGTTTTCTGGGGTATCTCAACGCCCTTGCAGATGTGGTCCCCCTCGGGAGACTTCACATCAGACCTCTCCAGATTTTACTCCTGTCCAACTGGGTTCCGTCATCCAGGAAGTGGGAGGCCTGGATAACTCTCACTCAGTCGGTCAGGGAGTTCGCTCACTGGTGGACCATTCGGGAGAACGTTCTCCACGGGGTTCCTCTGACCAAGCCTGTCCCCTCGATGACCCTGTTCACGGATACTTCCATGACAGGATGGGGAGCTTACCTCGACGGCCATTGCCGCTCGGGGGAGTGGTCTGGGGATCAGCTCTCGGAGCACATCAATGTGCTCGAGATGAGGGCAGTTCTTTTGGCATTGCAATCCTTTCGGGGGTTTCTGCAGTCCAAGGCGATTTGTGTGGCTACCGACAACTCTACAGTTGTCGCGTATCTGGAGAGACAAGGGGGCACCAGGTCTCACGTCCTGTGTGCCCTCTCCATCCACATCCTTCTCCTCTGTCAGGAGATGCAATTGTCCATTGCGGTCGAGCATCTTCCGGGCAGGCTGAATGTGTTGGCGGATACCCTCTCCAGGCGCCGCCAACCGGTGTTGACGGAATGGCAGCTGTGTCCCCCGGTCTTCCGGGGAATTTGTCAGGTGTGGGACAGGCCTTTGATAGATCTGTTTGCCACTTCTCTGAACAATCAGCTGCCAACCTTCGTCTCTCCGGTCCCAGATCCGAAGGCTTGGGCTGTGGACGCCCTTTCACTGGACTGGGGCGGGATGCATGCCTATGCATTCCCTCCCTTCAACCTGATGGGCAGGGTGCTTCAGAAGTTCAGGGAGCATTATTGCTCCTTACTTCTGATAGCCCCCCTGTGGCCGAGGCAGCCTAGGTTTCCGGATCTCTTGTCGTTTCTGGTGGAAGAGCCCCTGGCTCTCCCCACCAGACCGAATCCCCTTCGCCAGCCTCGGTCCAGGACGACACACTCTCGACCAGAGATCCTCCACCTTCACGCGTGGAGGCTATCTCTGGAAGCCTCGCCAAGGCAGGCTTTTCTCGAGAGGTGTCAGATCGCATCGCGCGATCTATCAGGGCTTCCTCTTCTGCCGTCAACCAGTCAAGATGGAAGATCTTCTGTGATTGGTGCGTCGGCAGGGAGGTTGATCCATTCGAAGCTTCTGTTCAGCTTATTGCGGATTTCCTACTCTCTCTGTTTAGGGACCGCAATCTGGCACCTGGCACTATTGCTGGCTATAGGACAGCAATTGCCAGTGTCTTGGCTTTTTATGGCAGGAAGGAGATAGGTTCTTTCTCATCTCTTTCTGCCCTAATCAGAGTCTTCATTCTGGATAGACCCAGAGTTCGGCA